GTTCTTCTTTTTTCGCCGTCGCAAGATTTCATATCGGTTGAATATTTCTTTTAAATGTGAAATGAAGCAACCTTTACTTCTCCAAAACTTGTCTTCTTTATCTTAGTTTCTATCTCCTGCATTCACAGTAGCCGCTCAACACATCAAATACAAGCTCTTAGGTAAACCTCTCACAAGAGTAGAAAAAATTCCACGCGCCGCCACCTTTGTTTTGAATTTTCATCTTTTGACCTCGCGCTTCTTTCGCACGTTTCTCTCGCGCGCTTCACGCAAGAGTGACCTGTTTCCCCGCGCGAGGAAACTGGTACGAGCTTAATTAGCAGTAAACGTCTGTAAACATCAGGTCGTAGGCGCGCGCGCGAGCACACGCAACTCTCAGCGGTAGCTATAACAGATCATGAGCAAATGTCGATCTTATAGATTTTTAAATGCGCGAGAACGCGCGTGGAAATTGCTAAACTCACGAAAGATATTGCATAAAAACAAGTCCAGTGACGCCTTCTTTTTATTGTTCCAATATGATAATAACGTCGAAAGGAATCATCAGAAAGAAAAAATAGAAAATTCTACGGAAGGAAATTTGCGATGTGTGAAAATTGCCTTTTTTCTAGATTTTCTGAAATTCCGCTCTGTAGAATTTTTTAAAGATCTTTGTGCATTTTCCTTTTCAAGTGCGAAAAGCAATCACTGAAAAAAAAACACGGGGTCACTGGGTTAGTTTTCGAATTATTTAAACCACAAGCTATGAAATGCGTCTAAATAAGCCTATGAAAGTGTTACCATGGAAACTGCTAGTGATGAAATGACATCTATTTTTGGATAACCAATGATTATATAATTAAATCCCGTAAAAGTGTTCAACTGGCCTTGGTCAGTCTTTCTTTTGTATTCTTTCAAAGTTACAAACCATCAAAAAAATGAAAAGTGGTATGAGCCACCTTAAGGGGCAAGATGTTTGCGCATCCTCAATCTCTGTCAAGGCTTCAGATGTCCAACTGTACATACAATACAAAAAAAAAAAACCAGAAAATCATTGCAAGATATTTCAACTCAGGAATCCGATGTTCACACAAGGGGATCCAGAATTCTGGCCATTTTGACCAAAAAAGGCACATAAAAAGGCTGAAATTGTAGAAGAGAACAAAGTACACCCACATATCTTCCGTAAGTCCTTTATAATCCATTTCCATGCTCTGAAAGTCATCGATATATTTGTTAAATACAGTTTCTCAATTATATTAAAACCTATCTGGATCAGAGATTGTCTTTCTTGAATTCACTGACAAAATTAGTAATTTTGCTCTCAGTGTTGCACACCGACCACCACATCATAACGAAAGTGTAGTTCCCCTTAATCTTCTAGTACACTTGCTGTGCGGGGCTTTTCATGCAGTAATGCTAGTTTGTAGGTTGAAATAAAAATACAGACATGCTTTGCATCCCGGAGTTAGATCTCTGAACAGCTCCTTGACTTGAGAAGATGTGATGCCCCTATGGAACTCCTGTTATTACAATTTAAAAAGATTAAAACGCACTTTTAATTAGTAAATAATTAATGTACAGAAATAGAAAAGTTTTACCTTCAAGGAAGAATTGTTTGTGAACTTTGTGAATGTGCTGACATAAGGTGAGCCATTTTCAATCACAGAGCGGCAATATTTTTCTGCCACGAAATCATAACCATCCTCTCACATTTCCTAACTTTAATTACCAGTACTCTTTAGGTATACACTCAGACAAGAGTCATGTCAAAAAAACTTGAATAAAAAGCAGTTTTCCAAAGCATTTCAATAAAAAGTTTCAAAGAGGGCACTCTTTAATAACCCAATATAGGGCTGAAAGAAACTTACAGCTAAGTCCACCAATAGCAGCTCAGATGACTCATAAGCCTCCAGTCCACCCTGGTGATAAAACTCTTGGATTTCCTCACCTTTCAGAGAACATCTTAAAAACAAAATAGCAGATAAAACATATTTTAGGAGGCAGCATGGCTGAGTGGTCAGCATGTCGGACTCACAATCCACCATCCCGGGTTCGAGTCCTGCCCTGACCACTGCCTGGATTTGTTTCATGAAAGCTCCAAGTTTAAATCCTTGGCCATGCTTGTAAATAGCCAACTGGTTTGCCTCTAGCCAGTTGGGATTCTTAACAATGTTATGTTCAATTCGAAATATTTGTTTTAGTTGTTTGCTTGGCCCCACTAGCACTTGTGCTATAAACACTGCTGAGGGTAAATAAAAGGTATCTTTTTTATTTTTTTTGTAAGTAAACTTGTAGTTTTTAGTTGTGGGAAAGTACAGTGATAATTAACGGCTATTAGGATAATCATTTGACAAACCATGCTGTGCTTTCTTGTGGCAAATGATAATTTTCTCAGCTATAGTCTGCTGCCCTGTTTATCCCTCCACCTTACTCAGCTTAATGCTCCCTTGCAACTGGTAAATTTTATTTATTATTTAATCTTCAGTTAGTAGTTTTTTTTCTACATTTCTCTGATTATGATAAACAAGTATTTAATATCAGCTTGGTTTGAATGGATCACCAGCAAATAATTACAGATTTGATAATAGGCCTTCTAGCCAGATAAAAAATAAAAACATAGACCTTATCCTAAAACATACTCCAGGCTTCTGTCCAGTGCGGTGATTGCGGTAAATTCCAGTCAAAAATGGCCAACTGATGTATTCTTCTGGAATATTTACCTAGCATGGAAATATGGGTAACAAAAAAAGTTATCAAAAAGATGTTTTTGGAAACTAAGATCAGTATCATGATCTAGTTATCTAATGATGTTTCCTTGTGCTGTGATTATTTCCACTACCTGGGAAAGTTGTCCAGCACAAAATTCATCCAGGGAAGATCCAGTTTATCAAGCTGGTGTGTTACTCAGGATCAATTTGTTGTACATGTTATTTGACACTTTTTTTTCAAGAGCTGTTTTCAACAAGATTAAGTCTATGAAGCCAAGCTTGCCCAAGAATATAATGCAGTGATTCAGCCAATGCTTTGACCCAGACCTCTTGCTCAAGCATCCAGCAAGCTAAATGCATAGATTCTTATCTGTAGCAGGACACTGCAGAAATCCTAGCTAGCATAACAGTAAGAAAGCCTTCATCTTCATGGTATAGTAACCAGACAGATAAGTATTGCCACATTGTGGACAGTTTCAGATAAAACTTATTAACTCATCAGTCATAACTTAAATGAACCCTTCCACTCCTTTAAGTGACCAAGATAAAACTTCTCCTTATAGTATTAACACAATATCAAGCAGACAAGTGATGAGAACGTAGAAAAACATCAATTAGGAGATTATCAGTTGATCCAATACCAAATTCTCCAAATTAACATCATAAGAATCGTATGGTAGTCAATAAGGAGAATCACTAATGAGATCTTGGAAGTAAAAGAGTTAAGGAAGTCTCATCCATGCATTCTATATTTGCAGAAGTATTTCCATAAAGTGGGAAAAAAGAAAAACATGTTTATTCAGTAAGCTTACAGATTGATATCAGAGCAATTGCACACCCAACCCCACTAACCCAAAAACTGATTTAAAAAAAAGTGTTGGGGGGGGGGGGTAAGTGTGGAGTTTATCAGTTGCTGACAATGATCCAAACTTACTTCATCTCTGACCTCTCGCAAGATAGAATGAAACAACTCATACACAACTGCCTTGCTATTCATATCATCAATATCAACCACCATTTTGTTCTCAGTTTGTTTGTTGGTCTGTTTTACTTCCTGTAAAAAAAAAAATAGAACAATGTCTCACTGTCGCAAAGGTGAGGTCCAGAAAACATTTAAGGTTGAGGTTGATACTAATAAATTCTTTGAATTACTGTACTTTAATGTAAAGTTTCAGTTTTCTCAACACAAAAAATATATTTTTATAACGGTCCAGTGGTCGGTAAACAAAGTGAAAGCATCATTCTCTTGGTCATCCATAAAATGAATATTGGCATCAAACTAACCTAAATTAAAATAGATGAATAGGAAAATAAAAGTAGTCAACCTTGTCATTCCTATGAGTGACCAAGACAGAATTTCTAATATTACAATATCAAGTACATAGGTGGTGAGAATAGAGAAAACTATACATTTAGAGATTATTAGTTGATCCATTACCAAATTCTGCAAAGTAACATCATAAAATTTGTATTGCTTATAGGAGAATTTCTAATGTGATCTTGGGAGTGAACAATTACACAATTAACAATTTGATGATGAGCTTGGGATTTCTATCCTATGATAGTTAATAAGGGGTTAGCCTGAATCAACCATCCAGTCATGGAAATCCAGAGCTAATTATCCAAATGTCTTAGCAAAAAATCTACTATTTATTTAAAACTTAACAACAAGACATGCTCATGTTTTTATTACAGCCTTTTGAGACACATAGGAAGAATTTTATTCCGTTAACTAATGGCGTAAGTTCTTTCCGTCTAATTGTTTATTATAAGATTTTACACCACTAGCTTATGGCATTTTTTCTTTTTTTAAGTATTTGTGTTATATAGAGTTGGTATTATATTTAGTGAAGGATTTTACACTGTTAACTAACGGGATTAAATCATACAATATACAGACTGAGTTAGTGGCATTAAATCTTACAATAAACAGACCAAGATAATCCCATAATTCACTGTTATCTGACACTGCCGACACACTACTCAACAGAATAGATGGTAGGTGGTTTAACCAATCAGATTGCAGCATGTGCGATTGAAGGCAAATGGATTATAAATATCATTATAAATATCTTATAAATATCATTTTGTGTTTTAAAGCTTAAGTGCTTACACTGGGTTCTGCGTGTCCTCCTGGAGTATCTAAATGACCTGGATCTTCATAAACTTGATGGCTTCTTCTAATAAAAATCAACTTACTGTCACTTGTTTCTACGACAGAACCAACACCCAATGCATCAGAAAAACACGCATGTTCGTTGGCGTATTCACGTTTCCCATAGTCTCGTAAAAATCCCCAGTGGCTGTCCTTCATATTTGTACAAACATAATCTTTATAACAAGTTTGTCCTAGTAGTAGAGTTACTGCAGCATCTCCGTCTTCGTTGTTAACGCCATGGAGACGAAATTTAGAACCATTGAAAAGGAACGGTTTCTTCTCCTTACGATCAGCCCATGTTTTGTCGATATCAGTTTCAAATTGGTCATTAGTTGCCTTCCTGTCATACAGATGGGACAAAGAAATAGCCAGGTCTTCTTGCTTTGCGCCGCCGCTAGTACGGAATCTGTCGTAATTTCCACTATTAAAAATCTCTATGAAATGTCCTTCTTCTTTACATTTCTCCACAAATGCCTTAAGCTCCATTTCAGGTATTTCTTTTTATGAAACATAAAAGATTCTGAGCTTATATAAGGATAAGAGAAGGCTTTGAACTGACTGAGATGGGTTCACGAGCCGCCATTTTGAACAAGAACAACAGTGTTAAGGCACGAGATTTGATTGGTCAATTTTGGTAAAGAAAGCCAATGAAAATATTGGTTTCTGCGTTCTGTTTCTATTAATCCAGCGGTTTCACCCAAAGCTACTATGACAACAGTAGTGCACGTAACAAACTTAAAGAGAAGCAGCCATAGTGAATTGTTGGAGGTGGTTGTATCAAATTATCTGCAAAAAACATGGACGCAGAAGGTCTTCATATGAATATAGACTATGTGGGAAGCAGCGGCGTTATTCTAAGTACAGAGCAGAAGGCAGCTCTACAATCTTCCTTGGTTATTTCAAAAAGTAATTACAAGTTTCGTTCAGTGAAATTTTGGGGAAAGATCTTTGGAGTCAATAGTGACTACTTCATTGTACAGGGAGTTGGCAAAGATGAACTGAAGGAAAGAAAAACGCTCTACAGGTATCAAATCTTATATTAAACGGTATTTTATTTTCAAAGTTGACTCGTCGTAAAAAGTGTACATTACGAGCTGATCTTCAAAACTGAGATTACATGTTCATTGTATGCACTTACTGCCCTTGTGCCCCCAGGCATATAGGGAAACAGATCTAAGTAGCATTTTCAATTCGCTTAATTCTAAGAGATGAAAATTTGTTCTGGCCACTATAAACACTATTTAGCATTCTAACACATTTTTATTTACCTCTTTTAGTCGAAAAACCAGACACATGACACTTAAATGGCCCCACCATTGAAGATTCACAGTTAACATTCCTTGTGATTAATCCAGGATTTACAATAAATAACTTTGTTAATTATGATTTTTTCCACAGTCAGGACTGTGTACACTGGGGTCTACTGCCAGTGGTGACAGAAAGCATGAGACATACCTGCTCATTTGTAAAAGGGCGCTTCACAGGAGACCCATCATATGAGTATGAGCACACAGAGACAAAGAAAGCTGAAGGAGTAGATGGTGAAAAATTGGATGCAGTAGATGAGGAAAGCATTGTAAGTTAAGCTTTAAGTTTAAGAAAGTGTTTAGCAATACAAAATATGCAGGAATAGGAGTGTCAATTTTCAAAGTCCAGAAATTGTTACCCCTCAGTTACTGTAATATTTTCACCTCTATTAAGTGGTTATGTCTAGTAAACAGTCATGGTCACCCTTGACTGAGTCCCAATGGCCAATTTCTATTGTCTTCCACCTGTGTTGAATTGTCACTGAAAGTGGAACCAGTCAAATGTAACTAAAGATAGTCTTACAAGTAAAGTTTAATCCATTTTTGTCTCCTGAAATCAATGTTGGTGGTATATTTGAGCAATTTTTTCTATAAAAATTTGTCAATCATGGCATAAAGTGAAGATTTTTTATCATTTTCTAAAAAAACCCTATCCTGTTGAACTTGTTTTAGGTAGTCAGTCCCCTATTCCCTGTGCTTAACCCATTAATAGCCGCAGCTTTTGCGAAAAACTGTGTTTTGAAGCTAGTCGAGCAGATTTTGGGTCACTGTTGTGGTTTTAAAAGCTCAAACTTACCACAAACCCATTCACAGCTTGCACACTCGACGGCCTTTCGATCAAAATGCAAAATGGTGCCCTGAGAATCTCGGGCAGGCACAGAAAGCAAAATTTTGAGATTTTGCATTTTGAGCTTTTGGGTTGAAAAGTAATGCCCCACTTACGACTTTTACTTTTCTCTCTTTCTCCTGCCTTTTTTCCCCCTTTCCTTGCCTGAAGTTTCTCCTCACTTGCTGGAAATTCTGTAGGCTTCATTTTGATGTAGAGATTTTTTTAGGAAACTACTCATTATTTTCAAACCACATGCTCAGAAAGGTAGGTGGGTAATGGAACAAGATTTTCATACAGATTTTCAGGTCAAAGTTACAGGGTTTTTTGGCTATTTCTCCAGTCTCCTTCACTCAATTGCACTCATTCTGGTATCGTTTGTAAGATGTTTTCAACCTGTTCAAGTACATGCTCAAAGTTGTGCTCCAGGGTTAAAAGTGATGACGTCACAAGGTGTAGAAAGGGTGTGGGTCCACATGAGCACTTACAGGTGCACTGGACGTCAATAGGTTAATACAGATTTGACTGCAGCCATCCTGTACTGTAGACCTCTTGCATAAATGGTGGGCCAAATTGCTATCTTTTTACAATCATATAAGTAAAGAAACCCTTGTGAGCTCAACAAAATATTTAAAAAAAGGAATTTTCAATTTAGACGGGCCAAGAAGGCTTCTTTGCATGTACAAAAAGGAATAATTATCATGCTTGCCATTATGAAAGAAGTTAATGGACCCACAACCAGCAGTGGCTCTTCAGTCAGCCTCTTAACGAGCAGTGGCTCTACAGTCAGCCTCTTAAGCTTGTGTGCAAAAGGTTAGTTTTGTAATACATTACTCCTTCAATTTCTTAGATTATGGTCAAAGAAGAGGACAGGCTGGCAACAACAATTGAAGCTATTGATTATGATGTCAGAATAGTGCCCAGGGGAGCTTACTACCGAACAGCTCTTGGTACAGTTGAACCAAACAGAAGCTTTGAAGGTGAGGAAAAGAGTAACACCTCTGCAAGCAAGGTTTTCTGCATGGAATCCTTCAGACAAGTCTCTGTCATTGTGGTATAATTTCTGCAGCATGTTATAAGTATCCCTTCTTGTTAGCACACTAGGTTCTTGGTTAGTTGAGCAAATGTAGCTTGGGTAGTCTTTACTGCCATCCTGATGATGGACCTTCACACATTAATTGTTTACTAATATAATGTTAATGCATACATATTGATGAGAGCTTGTTTTGGAGTATCAGTTGGTTAACTACTGAAAAGAAGTGCGGTAAATTGAAGACGGCATATGTCTGACAAGTCTGGATAATGAATCATTTCTTTTACCCTAGATTTTAATCATAGACGCTTTTGAGTCATTAGACCTCTCTTTGGCATTGCATTACTTGTCAGTCTTAAAGGCAGCTTCTTCTTGACAATCAGAGCTTGGCAAAGTTACTCAATGTATTCATTTCAATTGATAAATGATAATTTTAATATTGTAAACAAGTGTAGGGACCTATCATTTTTTCTTCTTTTGAAAGTAAGGAGAACTGATAGAAATAGATACCCTCATTTTTCTAAATATTAATTGACACAGGTTTGTCAGTGCCAGATTCAGGCAAGCTCTCCAGTTACTTCCATTTCCGAGAGCCATTTCTGTTCACCCAGAAGACTCTTCTTCAAAAGGTATGAATCAATATTTACAACAATTACATCAAGGCCTGAATGGGGAACCAATCTTTTGTGAGTGCTTTAAATGCTGAGGAAAAATTATCAAATGAGAATTTGTGGTGTTGATTAATTGTGGCTGATGTACACAAGATCACTAACTACAACAGTGGAGCTTGTTGCATAGAAAAAAAAAAAATTGGAGGTTGATTATTTAAATACTGATACTGGTCATCTGTTTCTTCAGTAATTCACCCTTGACTTTAATGAAGTGATATTTTTTGTTTTTTTTAGGCTGAGTTGGATAAAGCTATTGACTTCCTTGATCCGATTGATACTGATATACCAAAGGGAGGTAAGTTCTCTTGTAAATTAACTGATTATTATCAAAATCAATGGCCAATGATCTATTTTTTGTTGACTTTTGAAATTCTTGACATGCTACACATGGCCCTGTACATTTGTTTAGGAAACAAAGACCCTCTGAATGCATACAATTGCACATACACAACTTTCTTGGTGGTTCTGACTTTTAAATTGACTAGAAGTATTTTCCTACTCCATTTAACACTCATGATAGTAATGTTGGTTCTTTTCCCTACAGGCTCATGGAGTATCCAGTTTGAGCGCGGGAGTGGCTTGGTTACACTGCGCAGCTTACACTGGTTGGGCTTCACTTTCTATCATGTACCAGGTTCACGAAAGTATGGATCAGTGTATGTTGGTGTTGGCACCAAGAATCTGGACCTTCCTTTTATGCTGTGAAGGGACAACTTCATCCATAAGTTTTATGTAATATAGTGTATTTAATGATATTCACAAACAAATAGAAAGAGCAACTTTAGTGCAGCTGTAATATTATTGTATTCATCTCAACTCTGTGCTTTTTGAAACCAATAAATATGTTTTGCACTCATTGATGCATAGAAAGAAAAGTGTCTTTTAATGTTGTGTTATTATATTTATTTAAAGCTTGTCACTTATTTTAGTCATGCACAACCAGTGCAGAAATAATAATGAGTTTGCTGCCATTTGAATGACATACCAAACAACCATACTATTCCGTTTCCATTGTTCTTGAAGAGTGATAAAATCACTGCTAATAGAGTGAGTTGTCATTTAATAGACCTAGAACAAACATACTATTATGCTAGCCTTCCATTCTGCCAAAATATATTGGGCAACAGTTCTTTCTGAGGACTTATCTTCTCTTGTTTTACCACTAGTGTGAGACTGGGCCTAAAAATTGTGAAAAACATGATCCAACTTTCAGTGTTTGAAATCTAAAGACATCATATTCGGCTGGATGTTGATCACAAAGTGACCAGCAACTCTAGTTTGTAACCGACTTTATTTCTGACTCTGCTTCTGGCTTTCCATTTCTCTTATCAGTATTGGTGACAGTTTAGGAAGAACCCCTGCAGACAAAACATTACATGTTGTCATTTTATAATCATCATTATTAAAAACTAGATCATTGGATAATGCAATTCAAGACTTTTTATTGGCTTAGCCATTATGGTAGATCAGCCAATATACCATAATCTACAAATATGGTAAGCATACGCGTCAGCTTAAAATCAAAAGGGAGCTAAAAAATCCAGCTTCTTCTTACAAAATAATAATTTCTTGGGGGCGTTTTTAATAAAACAATTATTCCACTCGCGCTTGTTGGATGTGAGATGATTATAGCCAACGAGGCGCGTAGCACCTCGTTGGCTATCTATCATCTCATATCCAACAAGCGCGAGTGGAATAATTGTTAATGATAACATTACCTTCAATCATGTAAAGGTTACAAGAAAAAACTGTCTTCCTTAAAAAGATTTCATTAAGTATGTATTTAAAAGCAATTTCTCAGCCTGGGTTCTTGAAAATAAATCATTTGATTAGTGCTCAAAGGGTTATCATTTCAAATTCAGGGGAGAGGGCAGTTACTCAAGGGAGCACTCATTCAGGGGAGAGGGCAGTTACTCAAGGGAGCACTCATTAACTTTTTCTGAAAACAGTCTACTCATTACTTTTTGCCCTTAACAAAACACAGTCAAATGGTATATTTATATACCACGCAGATCCTAATGTTTCAATATGGCACACAATGTATTTGCAGTGGTAGTTATTATACCAAACCGAGTAAAACAGTACAATCATGCACTTATCTTGTTCAAACATTCTTCTTCTGATCAGTGAAAATATGGAGGGGGGGCATATTGAGTAGGGGTGCTGATTTGTAGGTTGGTGCTAATTCCAGGATTGTATGATTCACATATGACCATAATTATTGATTTTCTGTGTTTGTGATGGACATGAAAGATCTTAACAATATTTAACGTTTATTTCATGATTGTATGTTGGATATGAGACAGAAAATAGCCAACAAGGTGCAGAATGTTGGGTTGGCTATAACCAATCTCATGTCCAACAAGTGCTGAGAGATGTTTTTGTTTTCCTCAAATTCTGTGCCTTTCATTAAATGCTGTGGGAGCTTCATGAATTTGTTTCAACTCTGATATTTAGAAACACTTTCATTTGGTGAATTTGTTTCCATAAAGGTTGATTTGGTATATGTGCTGATAACTGGAGTTGAGTGAACCAATCAGAACAACAGAAATGCAATATTCTGAGTTGAAAATTTAATAATGAAAAATATTCTGACCTAGTCTCTGTGATATTCTGATAGCCTTCTCTAATTTCCTCTGCTGCTTCTTGCAAACACCTTTTGGAGAAGAACAGTATTTGTGAAGGTGTAGTCTGATCCTCCGGGTGAGTGTAGTCCTGAGAAGGACTGTTGTCAGTGGTAGTGACTGATGTTTCGACAACCTGTGCGGAAGTCATCATCAGAGTCACCTTCACATGTTACCCCCTTCACTACACCTTCACATGTTACCCCTGGGTTCAAGCCATTTACTGCAGAACAGTATTTGTAATATTAGAAAGTTACTTCTAAATAAATTCACTGATGATTGATTGCAATGCTTAGACTCAAAGGAATACAGATAAGGGGAACAAAAAAAGTAAAGAGTACCATTCACAGCAAAAGAAATCCATGACAGCATAGATACTGGTTAATACAATTTTGTTTATAAAAAATTATAAACTAGTTGAAAAAAATGTATTTTGAAGGATAGCTTTCTCATTCAGTTGTTCTAACAAAATTGTATCAATTAAAACTTACCGGTCACTCTCCGATTAAGGATATAACCTTTTGGAGACATAAACTGTGATAAGAACAATACATCCTATGGAAGTAACAAAATAAAAATTGATTGAAGTCATCCTTGTATTATAGTTTGTAACTTAAAATTTCAAATTTTCACTGTTCCTTTACATTCCACATTTTCTGCCTTTCATCTACTGCCATAATAAAAAAAATAAGAAATGGAACAGACATTGGTAATAGGTTAGGGCTTAGATCAAAATTGTTAGAACTATGATAATTTATGCAGTTTCATCAACTGTTCTGATTGGTTGATATTTACTTGCACACATTTACTGTTTTGCAGGCTTTTTGTCTTTTGGGTTTACTATGTAATTACATTGTTTGGTTTTCTATAATAACCCTTCAAAAATTGAGACCTGAATGGGTTCCTGTTAAAAAGAATTGGATATGCTGTATTTATTTGATTGAGCTCCCTGAGTGCTTGTAAATTCTGGACCTTGAGAGAGGGCACTTAATCAAGGGGGGCGCCTACACAGTTTCCACCATTTTCTGTGAGTAGTCAGTTTACTCAGCAAAAAAACAATAAACAATAACAAGACATGAAGATGGATCATAGACAGTGAATTTAGGGATTGTAAGCAAGTAAAGAAATAATTAATACTCTACTTGTACACACAATACTAGGGGGGTGGGGGAGGATGCTTATTCAAGGTTGTTAGGCACTTATTAACTTTTCCTACCTACAGGATGGGCACTTATTTGGGGTTAGACACTTCATCAAATTAATTAAGTAACCAAACTGGTTTCATGTGTAGCAAAGTTCAAAGTACTTTATAAGTAAAGGTTATGTTTCTTCTGCAGATTGGGCATCCAATGTTTTCATCATTATCCTTGGCATTGTCCACTGTGAGTTTGGATGCTGTTATACCTGAAATAATTAGTGGAAAACTAATCATTTAATACTTAACCACAGCAATTAGGGCTAGTTGATCAAAATTGTGCCCAGAGAGCAGCTTTTTGCAAATAAGAAAACAAAAGAAAAGAAATTCAGCAAAGAGGCGTGAGAACCTGCTTAAAATGATAAAAAATACGCAACTAGGTCATATAGAAAGTTCAGAAGGCATTTGTTATTTAGCTTGATTTCAAATTTCTGGATTTAAGGATACATGGTTAATTTGTATGTCAAATACTACATATTAGCACACAAAACTGCCAATTTTAAATCTTACTCGAACTGTCATTGATTCAAACCTCAGGCTGACTATGTAGAATAGAATTACGGAAAGAGTACCATATAACCCCATACATTAATTATGCATTCCACTTTTTTGTCTTTCACGGCAAAACTTTAAAAACAAAGTCTACTAGTCTAAATGCATAATTAATGTATGGGGCTATATGGTACTCTTGCCTAGAATTACTATAAGTTCACGACTCACCATGCCAATGTTGCAAAGTGAATCTTCTAAAACCAAGTGCATTTTGTATCAAACGTGTTGATACAGTTCTTTCCATTGGATCGTCATTTCTTTTCCATTTCTGTGAATAAGTCGCGTAACTGGCGTTTATCATGCATTGACGGCCGAAAAGCATGGGCGAACGAACAAAATTCAGTTCACTAAAAGCGACATAACCTAGAAACTTTACACGCGAAAACATCACTCGAGAAGCCATTTTGGAAACGGCGAAAAGCCTGGGTAGTAAATTCGTATGTTGGACCGCTGATTACAGTACTTATGACTCATCAGCATGGGAGCGGAATATTTTGAGGAGCATGCTGTTGAAATTCCCTCAAAAATGATATTTCTCACGGTGATTTGGAGGATTACTTTGAGTGGTTGAGTGGAAAATTCATATACGATGTTTAGGAACAGTAACGGGCTTCTCAAGGGAAAGCGAGTTGGTTTTTTGGTTAGTCGGAGAAAGATGCGTAAGAGTATTTTCGACACCTTCATGCAGTTGTGTGGGTGAGTTTGCTGCCAAAACAGCCATTTATCTTGTTTTATGCAGGTATTGGAGTCGCTCAAAACTACATTCGACGCATGAGTTATACTTTTTGGTATAATCTAATTTTTTTTTCACACTTTTGCAGGAAAACTGGTATCGATCTGGTCGAGGTAAGAAACCTTTTGTTAGCTTAGACGTATGTAGGCAAAGATAATAATAACACTAATTTAAATGTAACTCGATCAGGAGAAATTGTTCTTGAAATAAGAAAAAATGTGATTTTGTTCTCTTATTTCGGTTATCATGGAGAATTGATGCATTTCTCAATTTACGCAGCGCATCAAACTAATTAAGTTGTGGAAAATCATGAATCACACGCATTTTTAATTTAAAACCAAAAAGTGATCACGTCTCCCATTTACAGTCCTGCCCTTTTCGGAAACCTTTTTGTCTTATCCTTGGTTAGGGAAACGTATTTACGTTATGTGGTTTCCTGCAGTCCTCAACGTATTTGAAATTAAAAGATTTGTTTATGTAACATATCATTTGAAATTACTCCTCCCTCTCTCGGATTTAGTCCTCAAGGAAATTTCACGTGAATTATCTTTTTTAGAGCATCTTTCTAAAAAATCGATCAAAATTTCGATCATGTACGAATGATTTGTTTTTTATTTTCGTTTTATCATTTTAATTGATATACTAAAATAAAAGAGAAGAAAGCATGATTTCATTTAAGATGGTAAAAGTCGACGCCTCTGATGATGTCCTTCTTGTAAATATGAAAACCCAAAGGTCACGTACATTTTGGCGCTCAGTAATAACTTTATTTGGGTCAATGATGTCACAAATATAATTGTTCTCGCTTCAGCGGTGATGCTTTTATCATTTATTTAAGAATAATTTAAGGTAGTACATGAAGACCCCGAACCACCTGAAAAGATTTTGAACTATTTACATTTATTGTTTCTTTTAGACCTTACATATTTATTGTAGATTATTAGCACTATTAATTAGTTATTCTATATCTCCCAGCGTTAGCCCAGCTATTTGGGAGTATAAGTTCCAAGTTCCAAGTTCCAAGTTCCAAGTCAGTTATGTTAGCCTTGTTCAAGCTTCTCTGAGTTATGTTGCCTTGCAAATCAGTACTCTATTAATATTGTACTTTTTGTATGTGTATGTAAGCCAAAATGAATAGACTAAAACCAAAAGAAGAAGCAAATCTATGCATGCCTTAAATGTACTTTAAACTAAGTAGTATTTTTATTTAAGGCTGTGTTTTCGCTAGGCCGATTAACTAGCTGAACATTCTGCCTACGTGTTTGTTTACAGACCAACATTAGCTAGTTAAACACGACATCTGTTTTTACTGGGAAATTTTAACCCACTAATACCTCGGAAGATTCAAATTACAAATCTGCGCAACTTTCAAAAATGGCGGGATAGGAAGCGCTTTAATGAGTTCACTAGTACTGATTCTCGCCATATTTTGCGAAAGAGAAGGAGTTTCGTTCAGAGGATGCGATTAATGTCCCAGCAGATGTGAAGGATGCGACAGAATGTTGTAATTCTGGCAATTCAACGTGCTTGTGCTTTCGCTTTCACTGCTCGGGACTGAGGTTGTCGAGGGTGACACATGTGGCATAGGAACTTGGTGTGGAAGAACTGCTGGTTGCCCGTATTGTAGGAATGGATTCTGCACACCGATGCTGTGAAACAGGTAGGGCCCTGGACGAGGGATCTGAGCTTCCAACGAGTCAGGAGGAATTGTGAAATGGTGAAAGAGTTGGGAAGCGTTTTGCAATTTGTCTGCCATGTTTACAAGCATACAAGGTTTTGTTTCGAAAGATCCACGAGGCGAGCGTCTGGAAGATAATTTTGCCAGATTGTTTGGCAGGTATCTGTCACTACAGATGATGCGATTGGCTGCGGTATTTGTCAGGACAAGGTGAACTATCTTGCGAGGTAGTATAACTCTGCGTGAGTTTCCTGTCGTAAAGGCGCGAAAACCCGTTGTTTTTCCTTGTGAAAACAGTTAGCATTGTTAACTCACTAAATACTAGACAATGATGTGTTTTCACTGTATTTCCGGACTTTTCTGACTTAATCTGGCTAAAATTGTCCTAGTGAAAACACAGCCTAAATCTTTTAACTAGCAAGGGTGCATGGATGGAACAGTTGTTAATGTAACAGAGGATGTATGTCGTGTCTTTGTGGGTTATATTCATTTACCAGACCTGGGATCTGGTTTTTTTTCTTGCTCTGGGCTGCTTTTTGTAATGGTATTTCTTCAGTATTCAACCATCCAGGAAACAACAACATGCCAGATTTCAATTTGACCCGAAGGGAATGGATAAAGGGTTAATCATTTAACCCAAGGAGTGACTAGCTTCTGATTTCCCCCACAATATCACCCCTGAATCAAACAGTGAGGTCACAAGAATAAAAGAAATAATCACCAACTGATGAGGCCCTTGATTATTAAACAAATTCTCCTTATTGGCACCTTAGGAAATGTCTATAGAACAGTATAGAGAATATGCAAACTGATGTTAGGGCTTCGAGAGTTAACGTAGTGGAAGTGCCACTGTGAAGATCATATCAATTAAATAGCACTAGAAAATCACAAGACCAGTTGATCACAAGGCAAACTTTATTTTGACTAGGTTGACTTGGACAGACCACTTGAAGAACAAGGTCCCTTTGACTTGATCATCCAGAAGATAACAGATTATATGGCAGCTGCCACGGAAGGCGATAAAGAAGCTATTAAAACAATAAAAAAAGTAGAGGTAATTTGTCCCACACCTTCTCAAACAAGCAGCTTGCATTACTTCATGATTTTGTCTTTTAATTCAAGTGTGCTTTAGACTGCAGAATGCCAAGGCGAGTCTTTTTTTTTTTTACAGGCAATTGGACTGAATTTCAATCATAAGTGAAAGATCACTAAGGCTTATCTTAGATAAACGTTAAGTCTGTACTCAAGCCAGAGCTTGTTCTGATCTCCATATCCTGAGATTTCATGAAGCAACTCGGAGTACTCCCCTCTGAATGGGATGCCAGTCCATTCCAAGGCTACCCACTAGTCTTTTATCAGGCTGGTACCCATTTGTACTCTTTGGTAGAGAGAGTCATTGTGAAAGTAAAGGTACCATTTTCCTGAGAATACAACACCTGGCCAGGTCTAGAACTTAGTCCTTTGACCCAGAGTCCAGCCGACTGAACATTAGGCCGAGCTTTTGACCCAGTGAAAATCAATTAGTAAATTGTTACTAAATGTTCCTTTTCAGATGTACATTAAAGATCACCCAGAAATCATCATCATTGATCCAATGGAATCAATTCACAAGGTATTTGACAGAACAACAAGTTATCAGATCATGAAAGAGTGTGAAATCCTGGAAGAAGGTTTGTTTGAAGTTTTGACTTCACTTTGTACTGAGTATATCTGATCAAACCATATATTACAATTGCAAGATAATTAGTAATAAATAATAAATATTCATCTTCTTATTATTAGGAGTGAGAGTCTTTGTTCCTAACTTTGTGCAATTTGATGAGCTTGACTATAAACAGAATTTGATGAGAATTGAGAAAGCTGGTGTTTTGTTCCCAATGAGTAAGTTTCTAGATTTGTGCCCTAATCAATTGGATTTAAATACATTTAATTTCTTTTTTACTTCAGTTCAGAGTGCACTGTTGGCCTGGAGGATCTTTTTGGTCACCCAGTGTTTTACTTAATATAATTATATAAGTGCCATGAATTAATAAGAAATAGGAAACCAAAAGTTTAAATGTAAAATAATATTTAATATATTTTTCCCTAATAAAGTGCAGTATGTTGGAGGTGGAGGCTATAAATACTAATTTTAACTTGTTAGACAAGTTTTTCATTTAAAACTGGATCCTCTGAAAAATACAATGTATATTTACTAAGTAATGTTTTGTTGTTATGTTATGCATTTCATTTCAGTTTGTAAAACTGTGATTGGTCATGGATCAGGTTTTTGTCATGAGGTAAATGGTTAAGTCAGATAAATGAAATCATTTAATTGTCATCTACTTGTAGTGATGCACCGGAAACTGTGTTTGTTGAGTTTTTACCAAGATAAATAAAGTGTCAACTTTAATCATATGACAGTGTTTTGACATAACTATGACAATCACTTGTTTGTTATCTTGGAGAAATTATTTACATGTTTTTTTGTACATTTTAGATGGCATTAATCTTTAACAAGGAAGGACTGCAGGACCTAACACAAGCTCCATGTGTTGTTCAACAATTTGTAAATCATGATGCTGTTTTATTCAAGGTAAATAAGTTGTATGTAACTGAATTTAATAGGGCAAGGAAAAACTTGGCACTATTCACTTTACTTTTCCTACATGTCACTTCTGTGAGGCAGGGTGAATGGAACTGACAATGTGAGATTATTATTTTTTACATAATTTCTTTAGAGATCAAGATATTTTCACTTGTGTTGCCTTTCATTCAGTTGTGAAAAATCTTTCTGTCCTTGTGTCCCCTCAGTAATTATCATGATATTACATTCCCTATTAATAGGTATTTGTAGCTGGAGACAAACATTACATTGTAGAGAGACCATCAATCAAGAACTTTTACAAGACTACAAGTGAGTTTGATGAATTGCATTCAGCTGCTTTCTATCCCTCTAACTCTCAAGATCTGATTGTTACTTCTCCCCCCTGGTTGCTTCAAGTTTTCCTGTCAATGAGTTGTGAGAATTTGTTGTTAGATCAAGATACCAACTCCTGCCTGATAAGTCCAGGGCTCGACACTAATGGTAGCTCACTAGCCACAGACCTATTAGACAGGGTTCGAACAGGTTATGGAAAACCTGGAAAGTCATGGAATTTCAAAATTTCATTTTCCAGGCCTGGAAAGTCATGAAATTTAGGTGTGGGTCATGGAAAGTCATGGAAAATCAATATGCTCTCTATGAGTGAAAGGCAAGAAGACCCTAAGTTGGAAAGTTAACTGACGAGTCCAAAAATCAGATTTAATTTCATTAGAAATAAACAGAAGCACGCATTGTGAGAATGTCTGCAAACAGGTCATGGAATCTTTCAAAAGGTCTCGGAAAAAGTCATGGAAAGTCATGGAATTTTAACTGGTCAAAAGTTTACAAACCCTGGTAGAAATTCAGTTTTGGCTAGTGGTTTTCAACTTCCACTAGTCAGTTTGGCTAGAGGTCACTAGCCACTTGGCTAGTAAGTTGAAAAGTTAGCGTCGAGCCCTGATTAGTCTGACTATTCTCATCGCCTGTTTGCAGAATAATTTTTGGATTTTATAGGGAGAAGTCACCTGTTAATTGCTTCTGGGGGTTAAATGGGTTAAATATCTGCAAATCATTATTCATTTATGCTGTGTTGGTTAAAATTCTTTAGCAAGGGACAGAACATGAAAACTTTTTATTAACCTATTGATGTCCAGTGTGCCCCCAAGTGCCCATGTGGAACCACACCCTTTCTACGCCTTGTGATGTCATCACTTTTAATCCTGGAGCATGACTTTGAGCTTGTACTTAAACAGGTTGAAAATATCTTACAAACGATACCAGAATGAGTGCAATTGAGTGAAGGAGACTGGAGAAATTGCCAAAAAACCATGTAACTTTGACCTGAAAATCTGCACGAAAATCTTGTTCCATTACCCACCTACCTTTCTGAGCATGTGGTTTGAAAATAATGAGTAGTTTCCTAAAAAATCTCTACACCAAAATGAAGCCTACTAAATCTCTACACCAAAATGATGCCTACTAAATTTCCAGCAAGTGAGGAGAAAGTTCAGGCAAGGAAAGGGGAAAAAAGGGCAGGAGAAAGAGAGAAAAGTAAAAGTCATTAGTGGGGCATTACTTTTCAAACCAAAAACCAAAAAATCTCAAAATTTTGTTTTCTGCCCATGCCCGAGATTTTCAGGCCACCATTTTGCATTTTGATCGAAAGGCCGTTGAGTGTACAAGCTGTGAATGGGTTTGTGGTAAGTTTGAGCTTTTAAAACCACAACAGTGACCCGAAATCTGCTCAACTAGCTTCAAAACACAATTTTACACAAAAGCTGCAGTTATTAATGGGAGTTTGCTTTTCACTATTATTCAGAGAGGGAAATTAATTGTTATCAAAATTGTCTCAAGTCATCCGAAATCATCACTTTAAAATTGTAACCAAAGTAGAATACACTAACAATAGTTAATTGAAGTGATTGTTAATGCAGACAAGGAAGGGGTTTTTGTGCTTTAACCCATTAATGGCCGCAGCTTTTGTGGAAAACTGGACGTTAATGGGTTAAACTAATGTCAATCATGTTTGTTTTTCCTTTCATCAGCAAAAGAGATGAAAACAATATTCTTTTCATCACATGATGTTTCCAAACCTGATTCAGGATCCTATCTTAGTGAGGTACAACTGCAATACCAGTCTTGTCCTACGTAATACATACTAAACAGACTGATATGAGCCTTTTGACAGTCACACAGTAATACTGAATAATCCTCAATTTCTATATTGACTGGGACTTTAACTTTATGCCCTATCTATGGCATCAGTTACTGAAAATTAAGAATGGTGGTTCACTTATCTAGGACATTCTCCTCTTAACACAGATCAGTGACTACTGGCCATGAAAACGGGTACATGACATTGAAATAAGCAACAAGACCAACTAAATCCCCCAACTTAACGAAGCACCCGCAGCTGAAAATCAAGAAATGTTCCAACTCAGCTTGCAGTATTGTATAATCATTTTATTTATTTCACTGGCAAACTGAATCTTATTTTTTTTCTCCTGTTGACTGCTTATTTGCAGCTAGACAATGATGATAGTGATAGCAAAAGCTGTATAGGGCTGGATGAAAACTTAGTTCTAAAACTTGTCCGGAAACTTCAACCAAAACTGGTAAGTGTTCTTATCACAGTTACAGACATAGCTTCACGGGGAATGCCAGACTACAACCAAATTTGTCATCTGGTATCACATATCTTGCAAACTTAGGATGGATTTTTGTGGGATTAGGCTTCTGCAAGTTACAACACCACATGTTTACCAAGCCTCATTAACTTCCATGTATGATTCCCACAAGAGAGGAGAGAATTTGCCTTGAACTCAAATCTTAGGTTGTGTGGTTGTGTTTTTATTATTGAGTGGATCACCTAGACTGGCACTAGCCATCCTCAAACAAGTCCAACTGTAAGAATGAGTCCAGATTTCAAAGCAAAGGTTACATTCTTTTTTGTTGTTTGAGCCTGTTATCCAGTCCTGCATCAGTTTTCTTCCTCAACCACTTTATTGTTATTATTATTATTATTATTATTATTATTATTATTATTATTATTATTAAATTCATGTTTGTTTCAACCCTGGTTGAAACACTGGTAGCCATGTAGCCATTTTCAGTCTGTTCTGCCAAGCTGAACATTTAGGGCTATACACTGAAAAAGGGGATTTTCAGCCTTGGTTAAATTTCTTTACCAAGAATGAAACTTCCTTCTGGTATCAGCAGATTCCTTGAAAAAGGCACAGTTATGTTTAGATTGTTGGGTAGCTTGGTAAACTCAGCAGAATTGATTACAATCATATCTTGTACTGATTTCAACTTTAAAAAAATGTTGTCAGTGTAGTCAGTTTGTGTCTTTCAAAAAGAGGATAATTAAAATGTGTCCCTTCTTCTAAACAGAATTTAACAATGTTTGGCATCGACATAGTTGTAGAGAAAGGCACAGGGCATCATGTTGTAATTGACATCAATTACTTTCCAGGTAAGTTTGTGTTTTCATTACAAATGCCATAATTCTTTAGAACAATCTTTTGTTTATTTTGCTTCCTGAGAAATCTTTTTATCTTTTTAGGATATGAAGGTGCTCCATCATTTTCTGTTGACTTTGTAAAGTATGTACATGACTTACTTGATGAATCACATACCAAGGAAAGGAAAGTCACCTCACCAATAGTTTTGAGCTGACAAAGGAGTTTATTCACTACAGAAACGATTGCTAGGGTGTACAATTTTCCAAGAATTAAACAAACTGAGCTCAGAGTAAGCAGAGGTATGCCGAAGTGGATTTAACTCAGTCTCCATAACCTGAAACAAGTTGGAATCTCGCTAATCCTACTACTGGTAAATGGAATTCTAGATCATTGCAAGTACCCCAGGCAGTTCCTGAAGTCTCCCAATCAGTTTGCCATAACTCATGTGGTTGGAGAGAGGCACAGTGTCATGTCTAAGATCTCAAACATAAGGATGGGGCTGGGAATTTGACTCCAAACCCTTGATTCAGAGTCTGTTGCGTTACCTATCCATAAGAATTTTTCATAACTTTCTTGGATTCTTCTTGTAGAAAGAGATTTCTGCTTACTTAAGCCTAATTAAAAGGTTTTTAGTTAAACCTAGCTTATTCTAGGCCCTGGGTCAGATGAAATGAGCAAAAAGAGCAGGTGTGCAAATAAATGGCAAGGTTCAAGCTAAGAAAAAACATAGCCATTTGCCTAACTATTGCATTTGGAGTTTATCACTTGCCAGCTGTTTTGCCACTCTTTGCTGACTGAGAGCCTGGAATAGGCTATGTTTAAACCACCTCGGGCTTTTCTTTAACTACCATTCTTTGGTTGTATAAATTTGGTTTGAAAAGAGTATTGTGCATCGGTTCAGCAGTATCACCTGTTACACCATTTCATATGTGATATTATTACAGCCAATTAATTATAATTCAATGTGTATTTATTATTTCTTCAACTGCAAGATGGTGACATATACATACATATCACCTTGTTAGCAGAGTCACATTGATCTCTCAAAAAGACTGTTGGCATATAACTAATGAAAAGACCACATTATTTTGTGAAGATAACAGATTAAAAGGCTGGAGCATAGGTCCTAAAATGTGCATTGTTGGAGCACAATTGCAAAGTAACCTTTTTCCTATAAGAATATTGAATAATGCACAGGAACACAAGATAGTTGAGTCTATTTGTGTGTTGTAGTTTCTACCAATCCTAGTTTTAATTTCTTGACAAATGAAATGGACAACAATTTATTCTTGGTCACTTCCTTTTCTGTTATCAAATTAGATGGAGTTTGAAATAGACAATTTGCAAGACATGTATGACATGTATGACTTTGTTTGTTTTTAATTTCAGTAGTAGGCCATCAATACAATTAATAATGATTCTTATTGACAACTTCTCCAAGGCCTCAACATAAAGTTTTTCAAGCAAATATCAGACGAAATCTAACTCTCACCCCTTCTTTCCATTATGAAAGGTTTCTGATCTGAACAAGTCCCCCACCCTTCTGGAGATTCTAGTTTTACATCAATCTTTTTCCAAAACTTATTGCCTTTTGGGAGCCCCTCCTTTCCCCTGTGCATCCAGGGCTGTAAGCTCAAATTTTTCAAACTTTCAACCTTAAAACCATGAGGTCATCAAAATAAATATTCTAGTGGGCTGGAATAAACTTTGGGAAATGTAGCCAAAAAAACTTGTAGAAACTCTAAGTAAACTAGTGATAATCAATGTGGCTACTTTAATTTATTCTACTAGTGCCTCATTCTTGCTTACTTCTCTCAGGAAGTAAAAAACTTATTGCCTTTAAGGAGCGGCTCCCTTGTCAAAATACTCCCCTGTACATTCGGGGCTCAAATCATGGAACATTGTCAAAAAAATCATATAAACTCAAGTAAAATGGTTATTATCAGTATGGCTGCCATAATTTATCTTGCTACCACATTGTTCTTGTGAACCCATCTCAGCAAGTAAAAACAATTAAAAATAATGTTACAGCTGTGTGAAAGTTAAAAATGTCTTTCCCTGCAAATGAAGTCTTACAAAATTTTTTTTCAACCCTCTATGATGGCCAGAGTACTTACAACTTGAAGCAGTGCCTACTAACTTTGTCTTGTGTATGGACTTCAAATTGAAGGAGTCAAACTTGGGCTAAAACTTACAGACCAGTACACACCTGATTACTATGAGGTATTTGCCAAGTCCTGGGAGTATATAAACAATAGCCTCAATTTGGCTTGAAAATATGCACAAATATTTGTCCTTAGACATTATCTGTTCCAAGATGCAAACGGTTTTCTGGGAGCTTTGCTTTCAGAAAGCTGTGAGCAGATAATGTCCAAGGACAAATATGTATGATGTGCGATCCTCGCAGTAGATAGCGCTATTTATGCAAAAGCGAAAATCAGACCTGAAAAAAATCAGGCCTGTACGGGACTCGAACCACTGACCTCTGCGATACTAGTGCAGCGCTCTACCAATTGAGCTAACAAGCCAACTGGGAGCAGGCTGTTAAGTTGATTCGTAATAAACCCCTGAAAGTGATAAATGAGATGCAATGAATTTATGAAGTTCATATATTTTGAACTGCGGTAATAGATACCTATGATTTGCGATCCTTGCAGTAGATAACGCTATTTATGCAATAGCGAAAAATCAGACCTGAAAAAAATCAGGCCTGTACGGGACTCAAACCACTGACCTCTGCGATACTAGTGCAGCGCTCTACCAATTGTGCTAACAAGCCAACTGGGAGTAGGCCGTTAAGTTGATTCATTAAGAGGATCGCACATCATACGTATCTAATACCGCAGTTCAAAATATATGAACTTCATATATCCATTGCATCTCATTTATCACTTTCACGGGTTTATTACGAATCAACTTGACGGCTGCTCTCAGTTGGCTTGTTAGCTCAATTGGTAGAGCACTGCACTAGTATCGCAGAGGTCAGTGGTTCGAGTCCTGTACAGGCCTAATTTTTTTCAGGTCTGATTTTCGCTATTGCACAAATAGCGCTATCTACTGCGAGGATCGCACATCATACGTATCTAATACCGCAGTTCAAAATATATGAACTTCATATATTCATTGCATCTCAAGGACAAATATACAAGCACATTTTCGTACCAATGGAGGCTATTGTGCTTAGTATCTTTCAAATATTTTGCAATGCACCTGAAAAATGTTTACAGCTTAGTGTTTGCTGCAAGGGATACTTTCTTTTGGGTGTTGTTCAGTGAAACTTTGTTCTCAAATCCTATCTTCTGTAACAACAGGTCTCTCATCTTGAATAAATTTAAGCAAGGACTTATTGTAGGGTTTGAAAATTGGAGAATATCATTGGGTAATGACCTCAGATATCCTCCAGTCTTTGGCTGGGGAATATTTGGTCATATGATGTTCAGACCAATCACTTACATGCAAAATATTTGATGGATCGTAAAACTTAGGATTTCCTTGTTGCTGAACAACATACATACATAGGAGAAATGAGAAATGACTTAATTTTCAGAGTCAAAGGGTTATCAATGGTAAAAACACAGTAGACATCATTAGTAAGTATAACCCAGATTACTGGCAGGAGGTGGAAGATTAAGCTTGGTCTGCTGAGAGTTATCATCAATGCTGTCATCAGATAAAGATTGGGAGTGTTTTATTTCAGGTTCTGAGCCAACAGAGTGGAAGTCATCAGAATAACTTGCTTCACTTCTTTCAGCAGAATGTTTGGATGAGCTAGAAGAACTCTTTGTTAGGTTAGATGTCTGATTAGCAGAATCCTGTTCTGATGTTGTCACTTTCTGTTTCATGTTCATTCCTGCTTCCCTCTCTCTCCTCCCTTGTATCCTCTTAGATTTTGCTTTCACTGGAGAATGAGATGACAGGACTGGTTTTCCTGATGCTGCAGAAATACCTTGAGATATTTGACTGGCAGATGACACATCAGAATTTGATCTCTGCTTCAGATTTTCATTGTCAACACTGCTGCTCTTTGTGACAGCTAAGTGGTGTGATGCATGTGAACCTTCTGTTCCTGAGTCCTCAAAGTCCTCTGTGTACATGCTCATGGCAGAGCTCCCTCGCACACCATCCAGCTCTGCACTTAGGATCCCTGTGTTTCCATAAAAGCCCACAGTGGCCTGATCAGTGGTCCATTCCTTTTCCTGGTCACTTCTCTCTTCTGGTTCTCCTGAAATCAGATCACTTCATCAGTAGCTGATACAGTACAAAAAGTGCCGCTGGCCAGTGCTAGGCAGTTGTCATTGAATTGGAGCTACTCGCACTATATCTTAAATTATCCACTCATCTTGATGGCCTTTAGAATTAATTTTGCTTTTTGTCACTTAATAGAAAGGCTATGTAGGACCACATTTTTTCAAATCTCCCAAATGTTTGCTCTTGCCAAAAAAAAAAAAGAAGCTGTCTGGCTCTCATCTTCAACTTATTTCCTGAGCATTTGACCTTGTTAGAGATTTATCAGACTAATTATCAACTGGAGGCTGCCTGCGAAAAACAGTAGGTTGTATTCTCTGTTACATTTAGTTTACGTACCCTCAACTTGAGGAATAAAAATTTCCAGACTATTTTGACTCTTCAAGCTCCCGGCACTATCAGTGATGGGAAAATTTGGCTCAGTATCTACCAATGGGATGCTCTCTTTCACTACCCATGTGGTTACAGGAATCTCACTTTTTTCATTGTGTGGTCCCTCAGTAGATAACTGCTGTGTTTGGACCTGCACATCTGCTGTAAGCTTCATATCCCTCCTCGCCTGCTTTTTTGCCATGCCTATTTTGTATGTCTGTCCTAAATTGCTTGTTGGCAAGGGCATCTTCTCGTGATCTCTTTTGATCTTATCTTTTTCTGTTAAAGCCCTGTGTTCTTCACAACCTTTAGTTCTGTTTGTTAATTTCTCCTTTTGATTCATCTCTAGTCTCATCTTTTGAGTTTTGGTCATTCCATAGGTGAGACTAGTCTGCTTGAAACGTACTCTTTGTCTTGGCAAACCAATAACTGATGTTTGAGGCTTTTTCTGAGAAGTTGCTTGAACATTTTGTTTTCTGTATGTTTCACCTTTGGGAACATTCTGTGATCCTTTATAACCAGAAGGAAGTTTTTTGCTTTGAACAGTTGGCAGAGTTCTTAAAGATTGTACACTTAATGAACTGGGATGTGTATCACCACCCACTCTTGTTAAACAAGAAAGTTCTTGAAGTAAGGCACTTAAAATTGGCAAATGGCTTTCTGACGCTACACCTTGCAAGTTATACTGAATGAATTCAGATGGCACAATGCCACCTTGATGTCCTAAAGATGGTTTTACTAATTTTTCATCAGTTTGTACTGAAACTGATGTAACATTAGCAGTTCCATCCGTTTGAACTACACCAGGATCATAATATGGGAAGTCCACATCAGTACCCTCACCTTGATTGAAACCTTGTCTGTGCCCCTGATCTACATGAAGTGAAGAACTTTGTTCTGAGTGAAACCTTCCAGAAGGTGTGGAATCGGAAAAATAGTTGTAATACAGTGGGGGAGGACAAACTGTATTGGTGATCACTACATCTTCCTCACTTGCCTTTCTCCCTTGATCAACTGTTCTAGACGTTTTGAAACTTTTTGTGGGAAGGTTTGTTTGAACTTCCACGCTACGTCTAACATCAGGTTTCTTAACAGTTCTGGCATCATGTTCACTTTTTATATTGAAACCGTTTCTAGTCATTTCATTGTCTAATTCAATTTCAGGCAATACTTTTTCTAAAGCTCCCTTTACAGCTACCTCGACTTTTTCGTTTGTTTCAACCTTTTCTGTAATCCTCTCTCCCAAAGCTTTAGTACCAATGTGAGGGATCAGTGACCCCCCCAAACTCAATAACCTAAAACCAAGTTTTACATTCGCTATGGGACTTCCCATGAGATTGTACATATTGAAATCGCCCTCATCTCTGTAAAAAGAGGGAACAGCGACGCCATTCTTGTAAACGTCGTTAGAGATCTTATCTACTGCCTTCTTCAAAGGAATCAAGAAGCTTCCAAGAAGTAGGGGCTTTTTTGGCCACAAATCCATCAACATTGCGTATAAAGGGACAGTTTGTAGTTGAATTAAGAGAACATCTATGCTCGCTTTGAATAGGCAAGATTTACCTTTACGAAACTGGAAATTTCCAAAGCGATCTTTTAGAGCGTGAAGTACGGAATCTTTTCCCTCCATGCGAAGTCTATGTCGTATTTTTTCGGCGTCGACAGCAGACACATGATGGATGATCATTGTTGGGAAATCCAGCAGACGAAAACACAATGCTGGTAACTTGCATGCTACTTTAAGATCTTCTACACTTTCCACATGTACCTCTAGGGAAAACAACGTCTCAGCCATCATAAAAATATGACATTTCCCCACAGGGAATAAGTTTTCCAGAAGTTCTTTTGGCGAAAGATAATTTCGAGGATAGAAAAACTCGGCATCTTTACTTTTCGCGCCAAATATTCGCTACCAGCTCCTCACTCGGTTGATAATGAGTACGGTGCACGGAATTTCCTATTTAGAGCACTAGTTATCAAATTGCCGTAGAAGCAGGATTTCATCGGACATTAATACTGTAGATGAAGAAGCTTTTTTTAAATAAAGAATTATTGCTATTTACTTAAGGCAATAAAACTGGAAAATTGTGTTTAAGGGATGGATTTTCGCCAGATTTCTTCAGGAGACTCTTTGTTTCGACTCATACGACAACAAAACCATGATCAGGTGTAAATATGGAAAATAGTTGTTTAGGGCATTATGTAAATTTATATCATGTACCACTGTGCTCGTATATAGTGCGATTGTCGTTCTTAGATTAACTACAAGAGCTGGGTTTTGATGCTTATAGGAAAGCAAAGACATGGCGCGAAATTACTTTGTCATAGACCTGATTTGTAAACATGATCGCCCATGATCTGTAGTGGTCCTCCGACCTCTTGCGATGGCGGCGGCATAATTTTGAGTTCAACAGCTGTTTCTATCTTCAGCTCTTCTTGATCATCGTTGTTCGCGGAAACAGAGAGGAACAGTAATGTCTAGGCATTTGAAGTCAACAAGAGCTGATCAATGTAAGTATCGTTGATGAGTCAACCAAATACCAAGGTTGTGCTGTGCTAGAGCTCAATAGCATCAATAACAGTTGTGCCGATTTTTCTAAACCGGTTGCTCCTTTGAGTCAAGAAAACTGTTTCAGTGACGTCACCGTTAACGCAAATGCAAAGAATGACTGCAGATTCAGTAAAATAACAAAGCATCGATCTATTTATTATGTCACATTTGTAGTACTCCATGTATAAAAATACGATCTGTTTTGTGGTTTCTTCACATATGGACCACTCAAAGGCAAGGGCAAATCATGTAAAATTTTTGCCTTAATTTTACAGAATCGGTTCATTCAGAATCAAGCATGGATCCAGTTTGAATTATTTTATTTTGAAGCTGGCCATTTAGTGTCTGTTTTGCTATATACATATGTCTATATGTTGTAGTTTGATGAATTTTAGGTCTTATTGGTTCCAGGCTGGCATGAGTTGTTTTTCCCTTAGCTCCAGATATATAATCATAATTCTCGATCAAAGGAAATGCACTGAATTTAATTTTACTCGAAATTATTATTCTATCTACGGGTCATCCTCGGTGTAAAAACCCGATGAGGTTTTCTTTGTTTCATGAGGTATTGTTTTGCTGCACGCTATTGTTTATAATGTTTTGTTGTCTTTACTTTACGTCACTCGTGAGCTTCACAGGTTTTTACATCCAGGATGAGCCCTATCTATAGTGTGTTGGACGTTTGTGATGTTGCACCATTCTTAATCATCCTGTTCAGCAGTTAATCCAACTGCAGAAAATGAGACTGCATGCCTTCCTCGTTGTGCTGTTAACCTTTGAAAAGTAACAGTGCTACCAAAAAGTTATGATTTAGATATGAGGAATGTTTTTGTTTAGCATCTTCCACAAACAAATTTGAAATACTACAGTTGTTATTTTGCCACTTCTGCTCTAGTAGTAATACTTATCCTCTGTCAACAGTCAATGCTAAGGTCCATGGCCTGAAAGAAATATTCAACAGATTGGACAGAAGAACATATCCATTACCCACAGGAAATGATGTTGCCAACTACCTTAAATGGTTTCAGCAAACTTTGCAAAGGTGTCACTACATTGTATTATCATTTTAAAGCTGTCAGAATCAGAGAAATGCTAGATTGTTGTTAATTTTTTTACTGGCAGTAAGACGTAATGTTAATAGTAGAGCTTGCAGAGTGTAGCCCCATAATTATACAAAATGGTAGTAGTAACCCATCAAGCTGAAAAAGTATGGACTTATGTCAGTACAGGCGTCCATACAAGGTGCTAATTTTAGCATGCACGGTCAACTGTACCATAGGCACGCCAACGCCACGGCTTTGTCCAGTAGTCCAGTGGTCAGTGCACTGGGCTCTGAGTCAGACAACCCGGGTTCTAGTCCTGGCCGCGGCAAGGCGTTGTGCCCTTGAGACGTACGGGAAAAAAAAATGCGAGCTCTGCTTTTAGGCTTGGCTAAATCTATATATTATTTCAACTGTTTGTTATCAGTTTGGTGAAAGAGACACGCCCTGTATTAACAGAAGACAAGCATTCATTTGATCGTCATCAGTACCCCAGTATGGACTACACAGGACTCTACAAAGCTCTGGAAAAAATTGTGAATGTTGTTCCAGTTGTGGAGATTGGAGTTGAAGGTAGATGTTTAGACAAAGTGGGTAGTTTGTTTTTTAGCCAAGAAATTTTGAAGTGCAAGTGACCCCCAATGTTTCAGTCTGTCTGATCATTTTCAAAAGTAATTTGTACAACAAGTTCTCATAAAGAAAATTGGATTAATCCAAAAGTAATTACATAGTTTCACTCAATTTTCTTTCTTAAACCTTGGCAAACATATTCCAGCCATTCGCTAATAAGAAATGAACTTGTGGTGTGATTGTGAGCAAGGGTTCAGTCCTGAAAAAACTGTTGTGGATGACAGTAACTGGCATATTGGCAACCTGAGCAAAAGTCGCCATCAGATTCAAGTGAGGAGTTATATGTTGGTCAAGTGTTATAAAAATATGGTAGGCAAAATCTGATTTGTCAGTTTTGCCTTGATTTCATTAGCGATAACACTTGAGAGTCAAGTCTTGCAGTTTGATGTAGTAGCCTCCTAACAAAACTGACTGATTAGTTTTTGCAAACCAGGCTCACCAGATGTCACTCACAACTATTGACAGTGATCCATTTCAGGAGTGCTGTCATCCTGTTGATCAGAACAGTCGACCGACTGTTAGTCCTGGGATCAAACCTTTTATTAATGATTATATTACTTGCTCGATGATTTTCTTTTTCTCTTTCATCAGCTTTTGCAGACAGTGTGTTGTCTATCATGGCATCATTGGTTCCTTTCTTGAAAAAGGAAGACCTTAATGCAATGCCGATGGGTTTAGCAATGACACTTTCAATCTGGCCTCCGCAAACTCACAACCACATCATCAAACTACTGGCTGGTTACATTCTTCCCATTCTGTTGGGTAATTTTGTCTTCAGATCTTTACCAAAAGTTTTGATAATAAGAATCAGATGTTTCTGGTTGATTATCACTGGAATAAGAATTCTCGCAGCATAAGAATTTTGATGGCGATAAAAGTTACTTGAAGGAATCATAAAAAGTAAAGTTTACATTTTTTCTAACCAGTGATGCTTGCGTTAATGTTTCAGCTTACCAGTAAATACTGTTACTTAATTATGTATATTATGTCCACAAAGCCATGACAACTGTATTTCCTACAATCACTATAAGATAAATTTTTAATCCGTATTACTAGAAGCAGAGATTTTATTTTCTCACACAGTCTTTTTTCATTAAGCAGAAAAACTAGAAAAAACATTCCTATTTTGGGCACGATATATCTTTCTTAGAATCATATCTTAGATGAAAGAAAATGTTTGCTTCAAAAAAAAGTTTAAACATTGTTTTGTCATCTCCAGTTCAAAATGGTTGTTGTACAATTAAAAAATTCATTGTACAAAATTTATTTTGAATCAGATTTTTTTTGTCTCAAAGATGTTTTAGAGCCAGATGAAGGTGGACTTTGTTATGCGTCCCTGAGCTGCCCCGCCCTTATCATGTCAATCTTACAGTACTGTCCTGATTGTAAACAGCATGCACAGTTTGTTGAAACACTTATGAGATTTAAGAGTGACGTCTGCGTGGATATTCTCGCTGTGCTAGCCTATGGTCCCCAGCCAATCATTAACTCAGCTGGACAGGTCTTACTTCACTATTATCCACTCAAGGATGTTGGTAAGGCCCATGGCAATGATAGGACTGTTGTCCCAAAAGATTAGGTTTTTGCCCTCTAGTCTAACAACTCTTTGGAACTTTTTCGGGTTTTGGTCTCTCAGTATTTTGAGGAATAGTTGTTTGTAGTGTCAGAGATAGACTGATGATCTGATAACTTTGCTGCACAGTACAACTTTGAAGTATGCCTTGCTTTTATGCATGATAAACTCAAATGGAAAAATTTAGAGGTTTGCAAAACTCTGGATGAATGTTAACTTCAGGGGTAAAACAGAAAATTAGCCAATTTGTGCATCAGCAACGAAGGAAAGAATGCGCAACTGAAGCCCTTGAAATTGGCTACTTTTTTAAAGAATGTTATATTTTAAAAACAATGTCTTGAACTGTGATAAAATGCAAATGATAATATAATTAATGAATTATTGTTGTGACTAACAATGAAAGTAAACCAGTCATATTTTCTTTCTGGGTCAATTTGGTTTGTTTGGCTTTCTGCTTAGCTGCTATCAAGACAGTTAGGAAATGTGTTGTTTTAGAACACATCCCACCCCTATATGCTAGATAGAGGCAGTTTTAAGTCCTTGATAACCAGAGGAAACTAGAAAAACTGGAGGTTCTAAAAGGGCTGGCAATGAGCAGCTCTAAACCAAAATCAGAAGTGATAAAGATGAAAAATGTAGGAAATGGGAGTGAGAGGTATCTGTGGTGTTCTTTTAACATTTTTCTTTGGATCTGAATTAGTTTTAAACACAGTGTTTCATAGGGATTCTTTCTTGGCAGGTTGTCAGTCATATAACATTACTTGTGATTCCTTCTTAGGGGGAGCTGATGACTGGCAGTTTGTCTATGAACCCTGGCATCCACCAAACTGTCAAAACCAGGAGTGCACAGTCCCTCGAAAAAATACACCAACCACAATTTGCTTGGATGCCTCATTTGCCTCAGCGCAGTGTGGCTGTTCTCCTCCAGTGTTTATCTGCCAGAAATGTACCGAGGTAGCTGCTCGTGACATCCCTGAAGAGAAGCTTTTGGTAAAGATTATTCAGCCAATGGGCAAGATGCGAACAACTTGTGAAACAAAGGAGTGCAAAGGACAAGGGAAGCCTTGCAGTGTCATGTGTTTTTCTTATGGCTGCGTCAAAGATAACAGGTAGATCCTAAACGTTTCTCCCTCCCTCAAGGATTTCAGCGACATCGTGAAAAGGGGATAAAATTACCACTGAAAGCAAGGTTTTGACGGCGATGTGCATAAAGCATTTAATCACATAAACCATACGTACTTGCTCGTATATTCAGTAGAAAACCATAATGAAAGCTGGACGGGTTGACGAGAGCTTGTTGCTGTCCGGCGCGCATTCACGCGGCTCCTTGGCATTTTCGAAGAAGGGAACTCTGGTTGTGAACTTAAACTTAAAATAAAGTAGAAGTGGGAAAGTGAGTCACGTTTTACAACAAATGTATGTTGAGTTTCTTGTCAGTGTGGCTCAAAGAAAGAAAGGAACACTTTTCCTCGTAGAATTCTTTCGGAGCTTAAAAGTCTTATGATAAAATACTTACTTACTTCGGTCGGACCTGACGGGAAAATTAGGGACTTTAAGCAACCCCCGACGGCTACGGCAACGAGAACCGTGGCGTTGCCGTCCTGACTGCTTAAAGTCCCTAATATTGTCTACTTAGTCTTGATGTAAGGACCTCACACACCCGGTCCGCGCTTCATGACCTAGAGTCAAATATTCTCGCGTTCGGCCCTCCCACTTAGTCAGTAAATAAATAAGATATCAGAGAATTTTCAGGCTAATGTGTGGAATTCTCCTGATAAATTTTGGTGTCCTGTGCTATTTTTTATTCAGTTGTGGAAATTCTATTTTTGGTTTACACTGTACTTCTTAACGAAACCCTAGATGATGTTGAGTAGCCTTTTAACACTTGATCTCTTTTTTTTCATCGATAGATATATCACAAAAAAGTTGAGTGACAACCTAATAGTTTTCATTATTGTTTACAGATTAAGGCCCTTGACAATGTGTCAGGCGTGCCACGCCAATTATCACAGCACTGGTGACGGGTATCACCATGTGACACAGAACTTGTTCCCAGATCCTTGGACTCTACAGGGCCCAGACCAAGCCTACCCCTCTGAGGCAGTCATTCGCCTGCTTGGAGAAGCACAGCCTTGTCAGAAAACAAGGAATGAGGCCATGGGGTATACGATGCATTGTAAAAATTGAATTTGATTTCAGTACAATAGAGAAAACTGATGGTTGGACAGGGATGGTCGTTTGTTGGTTTCAACGTGCAGTTACAGTGTAATACCTACTTGTTAGGCTTCACCCCGCATCCATGATTATACAGAAAATGTATCCGTGTTTATTTTAAACCACAAATCGAGTCACACCAGTGGCATGTGCCGTAATACACTTGGAAGCTGAACATCACTAAGTATTTTCCGATCCTAAGTGTTTTTTGGGTTTTTTTGGAGTGATAAATTATATGAAGAAAGCAAACAACAACAATTTCGTGTGTTTACAAGAAATTTGAAAATTCCTTATTTCCCTAGACTAGTCCAGAGTAAACTCGAGGAGGATGAATTTGAAGACGATGTAGACAATGACATCAACAACCGACGTATGCTGAGTAGATTGGGTGTGTGGCTTCTAGTCGGAGTATGCAGTGAACCAGCCAGGTGTGAATCTATGGAGAGACTGGGCCGACTAGTGTCCATGGTGCTGTCATGGATCGAGACAGCCTCGACTCTCAGACGAGATTACGTCGGCGAATTGTTGAAAAGGCTTACCAGTCAGTATGTCTGTCGATGGCTGACGCAAGTTCGAGATAACAAGTTCGATTTGTTGTGCGCATGCCTGTCCCCTGATCCTCCGGGATATGTGAGAGTTGGAGGATGTTGGGATACAATGTCCAGTAAAGAACGGCAGCACATGGAGGGACTTCATCGCTTGTGCTGTGCGATACCTCACAATATTGTAACCAGCGAGGTGCGTAATTAGGAGCGACTCTTGTTGCTTTTGGTTCCCTCGCAGCCTTTGCCCGTCGCTGCTTACAGAAGGCTGTTGCACCATGTTGAAATGTTTTATTATCGTTCTTGCCCCTAGATTTGGGATGTTGTTATGCCCCAGTGGATGGAAGCGATTAAGGCAGATGTTCAACCTGAAGAGTTGGGAAGGTTTAAAGTGTTGTTAACGTGAGTTTACCCAACAATCTGGGCCTGGGACTTTGTCCACAAAGGAGAAAACAAAATTGTTAGCAAGTACAAGGCAGTAGTTTTTCATCATTTTTGCAGGAAAAGCCTTAGTTTCGAAAGATTCATAAGATACATTTGGCCATCAAAGGTAACAAGAAAACACGTACCTACCGCAGCAGAACAACAGTCTTTTTGTGAAGAAAAATGGCTTGATGTAGTTGATAACGCGGTTGTAGCTTTTATTTGTTTCCCCTTTTCAGTTTTTCGTTTTGAATTTTTATATTTTCTTTCTCAGGAAAATCTTCGACCCCTTGCTGACACCACATAAACTTACCCCAGAAATTACTCTGGGTTTTATTAAGAAAGCACTTGAGTCTGCTGTACCTCGCCATCAGGTTGAGGCACTAACGTGGCTTCAGGTAAACAAATTCTTCTTTTCTTGTTTCAATTACTTCAATTCATTGAGGGCACAACGATGTGATAAGAGACGATTAAACTGCTGTAAAGTTGATCTGATTTAGGAATAAACACATAAAACTTTCCAGACCTTAAAGTCCTTCAATTGAATTTTCATTCGACACCTGAGACAATAATTATTCGCTCGGGGTGCTAAAAATGTAGATCAGCGAAACCAGCGCCTTAAAACATTCTCACTCAGGCGAATGATCCAAAAAAAAAATCATTCTCACTCAGGCGAATGATCCCAAAAAAAAAAAAAAATCAAAATACATTTTGAAGCAGAAAGGTGACGAGAGAAAGAAAATAATCGAGTAAGGAGTATTCTTTGATTTTGCATTGAATTATCAAAGCTAAAATTATCAGACTATCTATGACAAACAGGGCAGAGAGTGGATATTCAGGTCGTGGGGGTGAAATTGTTTAGACTGCTATTGTATAGTGTCGTTTTAAGGTATTTTTTCTTCGCTTTTATAGATTCTATCACAGTTGGATATAATCATCCCGCTTGAGATGCTGCTCAGTATCTTTATCAAGGTTGTTCAAAACTCATCCGAGTTCTCTGAAGGAGTGACCACCATGTTTCCTTTCCCAACCTTCACGGTGCAGTCACCGATGACTCCAACCGCTGAGGGCTCGCTTATTTCAACACCGGTCAGTGGCGTGTTGTCAGAACTAGGCGAGCTAAGTTCAAACCTGTCTTGTTTCATCATGGAACTAGATTTACTGGTTAAACAGGTATGTTAAGCAACGGTTTGAAGTGATGCTCAGGGTTGTGATGTGCGACTCAAGTACATTAATAGCGAGTTTTTCACAAAACCGTGCAAAAGAATATGCTTTGGTTACTTTGCAAGAGAGGCTAACTCACTGGTAAAGTTCATTTGAAAAACGAAGTATTGTTGTGTTTGTATTGTAGGTCAACATTCAATATATTCGTGACAAACATGTCCCCAACAGCTCCGAAAGAGAACACATAAAAAAACTTCTGGAGTGCATGCTGGACTTGTCCTGGGCTGGTAGCCATGGCGACCACTCAACTGTTTGTGATATGTGTAACATGACTGACATATGGTTCAAGCTTGCGCACATGTTGCTGGAGACTGTGTTCCCTGAGGGAGTCGCGTTACCAGAAGATGACGTGTTAAGTCACGTGACGTATGGGGGACTGTTTAAATCAAGTGTGTCAAGTAGTAAAGGAATATCAAATAGGAGTTTGTGTAAGTCCAAAGAGAACTTCTTTTCAGTTAAAGCGATTTTTCAATTGACAGGCGAAAATCACCACAGTTGCTTTGTTTTTGCTTTGCTTCGCTCTCGTGCCACTCTCTCTCAACCAATCAGATAAAAAATAAAAACTAATCACGACTTGAGAAAAGGGGGTAAGTTTCTAAAGAAACTGTGGTGCTGCGTCGGTGGGGGTAACAAGATAATTTGGTAATATCAACTAAGTTGAAATTGTACATTGGCCACCGTAAAGAGTTAAAAAGCTGACATTTCGCCTTGGTCAGAGCGAGGGCTAACGCTCGAAACGTCAACTTTTTAACTCTTTACGGTGGCTAATTTATAATTTCAACTTAGTTGATGAAATCAATCGCGTCTTCGTCGAACGCGTTTTTCCGCGCTTCAGGTAGTTTTTTTGCTTCTACTTTGAGTTCTGATTGGCTCTTAAAGATACTTTCCTTTCTTCTGATTGGCCGTTGTGATAACTTTGGTTTTGGTTTTTACAAAACGTAATGTCGAGAGTAATCCTGGTTAATATCGGTTTTGCTGAAGTTTGTCATGTGATTGGTCGCTCCCACCTCTAAACCAATAAGGTGCTAAATTAAAACTAACTTAAACACCTGGTCATCCGCTTTCCCGCGCATGGAAACATATTCAACGTACTTCGGTTCTTCATTTAATCCTTATAAAACTTGCGTTTACTTTAGCCTTTTCTTCCATTGTGGTTCTTTTCCTTCTGGTTTAACAACGATCCTAATTTGACATGCGCAAATTGACTCATCGTAATTTCACTTGAAGAGGGTTTTTAATTAAAGTTTTAATATTAGGGCTCTCTGTGTTATTGATTAAACTCCTCTTTGATTTCCAGCATCAAACAAAAGTCAAGTGGAAACAATCGAAGAAGAAGTCTTTACTGTGACTAAACAAGACCTTCCTGACGTCACAGACAGTTATCAAGGTGACAATGATCCTGAGCCCGCAAATGTTACCAGTGAGGCTGACACGCCTTCAGAGTTGAGCGAAAATGTCATCTCTTTTGCGGCCATGCGCAGTATGTCGGCTGGCATTGGTTCGTGGAGAAGTGCAACAAGTAACAGCAACTGGGGCGCGGTCTGCGATAATTTTCCTCAACTGAATTTGCTGCTTGGTTTCCTTAAGGTAAACATTCATTTGCAGCGCCTACCTTACTTTGCCTGGTATCTTTTCAACAAAATTTTCGAAAATCTGCACAGGGATTTATGAAGTATGTCCTTTTTGAATTTTTGCGCTCAAATCAGCAGTTAATTAGAGATCAACTTCGTTCGCCGAATATTCTCTGAAGAACGAGGTTTATCAGGCTTCCCCAAGCGGGATGTGGCCAAGTATTTCATCTTTCTCTACTTTTCCTTGCTTTACAGTAGAGATCTCGATACCCGCCGATTTCTTGCCTCCTGTCTCTAATTGTCCATTTCTAACTTGACACCCAAGATCTTCAACCCTTGAGGTCCCTTAGAGTGAACCAAGTGGATGCACTTTTGTAACTTGTTTCTGTGTCCCTCCTTTAGGAGCTCCCCCGCCAGGAGGACCATAATGTCCAGCTAAGTATTTTGAGGTGCCTTAAAGTGTTAGTACTGCGCGGTGATTACATGCGGATCGCCATGAATGCCGATGCAGATTTCCTGGCTTATTTACAAGAGATCTTCTTTATCCCAAAGTGAGAAACTAGTGTGAGAGTGATACTGTATAATATGACTATTATATTAGTGTTCGCCAGTCTTGTTTGATCAGGATATGATATTGCCCTTGTTGTTGACCTCCTGAAAATCAAATTCGTTTACTAACGTTCTTGATTTTTGGACTGATTTTAAGATTTTACTGAATTTATTGCGGCTGAAAATGAACAACTTAAAAAAAAAAAACTAGTAGATACAGCAACAGGTGAATATTGCTATTCACACGCGCTGATTGGCTTGTTTGGAAGTGACCCAAGTACTATTCACAGAAGCAGCTGAAGAGACAGAATCGCGCGTCAACAATATAAGTTTCGGCCATATTTTGACATATGACAACGATAAACTACCTTTTTTGGTATCTGTGTGGAATATACTAAAACAATTATTCACTTCTGTGTGGGTGAAAGTGGTAGATATTTGCCTCCCCGCTTCGCGGCTCGATAAATATCCACCACTATTCACCTCCACTTTGGCGAATAACTGCTAACTAAGCTAACTTTCAGTGAAGCAGGGTTGCATTAAATGGATTGTTATTAACTCTAGGTATGGGGAGAAAAGGTAACACAATTCAATAGTGACTACTTCGTGGAACAAGCAAATTGATTACTTTATTAGCGTGTTACTTTACCAGTGTGTTCACCACGACGGATATCTGTAACCTTTTTGAGAATATACAATGGGGGGAATTGGCGTACAACAATGCTTCGCACTTGTCTCGCCAAATGTCGCTTTGCTTTTGATTACAATGGCGTTTTGATTTTATCCTTCTTGTTTAAGTTTCCTGTATGGTTATCTACGATTAAGTCAAATTTCATGTCGCTCTTCTTTTGTCAGTATATGGGAGCTTCTACAGGCTGAACACTCAGAGATGTCTCATCTGTGTGTACAGATTCTCCTTCACTGTATCTGTCTTCCTTTTGGAGCTGAAAAACTCTGTGATCAGGTTGAGAGCGCTTTCTCCGACGATGATTGGCGAGAACGGTCATCTGCCGTGGAAAAAATCGCCATCATCGCGCGTTTTCTCGAAAAAGAACACGTCAAGTCAAACAACATAACTATGTCTGCCTTGGCGCACTGTTTTACATATTTAGTAGGAGCTGTTGAAGACATGTGCACGCCAGTGCACCTAAGGGCCGTCTACATGTTAGGCACCATAAGAGCCGGCTCGTTAAAGGTCCTTTACAAGTGTATTGAGCACCAATATGATGCCGTGCCTCGAGACCGTCTTCTGTTAATCCACACTTGTCGGATATTGCACCGAATACTACCCCTCCATACCCCCCTTTGTGGAAAGTTCTTCATCAGTCGTTTCAAACATCTCCTGATAGAAAACGCAGAATTTGTTTCGTTGGGGAGTCCCAGGGGACGAAACGCATCTGGAACAGCGGCAATGTCAACGAGTCCTAGCAGTGAAGCGTCTGTGGATGGAGGGAATGATTCGGCAAGAAAAATCGGTTTGTTACTAACTTGTTTATGTAAGGGTTAATGATATGTTCTGCTGGTTTTCTTCCAGCTTACTTACCGATGTCTTATAAATCTCTGCATCCTTTTTAAAGCAATTGAAAAAGGAAAAGGCGGTCTATTCTCGGACCGATACACATTTTTCCTAGGAAGAATAATTTGCGTCAAACTACACACTGAAGAAAGAAGTCGATTATTTTGTAGAAAAGTCGGTTAACAATTTGATTTTGTGTTTAATCGCGTAGATATCTACGAGATATCCTTAGGCTAAGGAAGAAGGGAACATGTAGAGGATACGTAGGTTATAGAAGCTTTTTTTGATTGGGAACCAGCGCTTCGTTCCCTTGGAGTTTTTCTGCAGTTCTGTTATGTAGACTTCATGACATGTTGAATATGACATTGGAAAAAAGTAGTGCCTAAAAGGGATATCCCAGCATGAAGCTTTATTGCTTTCATACCTAATGAATGAACGGTCTCATATATGTGTGCAGCCGTGAGGTTAGACAGGCATCCTGCAAATGATGTTTGCTACTAAACTGACCATTACTTAACCCCTTTGATTTTCTTCTCTCAAGCTCCTGTTCTGCGTTCTCAACCCAGTACCAGATCCCTGATGGCTCGCAGCGGCTTGGGTCAGCTTCGGAGAACCTCTTCGTCGTTTCGTTGTAGCTACACTTTTCGTTTTCCAGGCGAGAGAGTCTCATATAACAGACAGGTGTCAACGGGATCAGAAGGTAATATCATAGTTTCCGCAGAGAGGCAGAATTAATCGTCCATTTCTGGGTAAAACGTAAACTCGTTTGTGTCATACCTGTCAAAGAGTTTGGTATTGGAATATTTTCTGTTTGGAAAATGTGACATTTGATGTGTTCAGTTGTAGATACAGCGATTTTAATTAATTGTTGATAAAAGATTTGAAATGTTTAGCGAAAACATGTGGTTGCAGGTAAGAGTCTTTAGTCTTTCGGCTGTGGGAGATGAGTATTCTTTACCATTAAACTCCCCCAGTCTGCAGACAGCAGACAAATTCAAATATTGTACTGAAAATCACGCGACTTCCATCTCATTTTCTTAAGATGAACAATCTAACTTATGTGTCTTGCATTTAAAAGCTTGAGAGATTTCAAACTTCCCTCACGTAAACATCAAAGAGCAAGTCTTGAACGTTTAATGTCTGTCTCTCAGCCATTTTTGCGACGATGTAGAGCTATTTCTTACAAGACGTGTTAGCAATTGCTATTCATAGAAGCCTGCAAGACATTTGTCACCTACGAACCTAGTGTATGGCTTGATTTTCCAGCATTTTCTCTTCAGCCCAGTTGGCAGAGTATCGGCAAAGTTGATTCTGAGATCTAGATCGTGAAACCGTTCATTTCTTTTTATTTCTTAGGTAAGAAGTCCTCCAGTGGCGGCCGACAGCGGCGGACAGGTGGCTTTGTGAATCAGTCAGTATCCATCGATATCTCAGACCGTATGTTCCTTGGAGGCCGCATCCAGTCCAACCTCCCTACTGTTCAGGAGGAGGATAACGAGAGCTCCCGCCAGTCGGTATCCTCCACTGACTCCTCCTTCAGTCAGCTGCTGAGTGTTGGTCAGGAAGGTAGCAGCATGGAGGCTGAAGCCACTCATCAGCTGGTCACGTTGGTCATGGACTTCCTGAGCTACCCTGGAGCTAACAGGGGAGGGGAGCGGTCAGAGTTTGTGAGGACAGAAAGCTACGAGGTCTTTCAGATGAGTCATTACCTAGGCGTTCTGATGGGATATGACATTAAAGTTGGAGAATTCACCGGCAATCCGCGAAGATTAAGGTACAGATATTCATCAATTTTCTGCATATTATTTGGCCTCACATCAAAGCATTTGTAATGGGGTACGATTGATTGTCTCGATTGTCTCATCACGTCTCTAATTAAAAACTTTTCTTTTTATTAGAAACAAATTCATATTTGCAAAAAAATGCCTGCCCGCCGTTAATAGTTTAATGGCTAGGACTTCTTCCTACGGGGGATCCAACTCAAGAATTATCACTTTATCTTGCTCATTACGTAGCAACCTTAAAATGAGGCGCTTATTAACTTTTTCCTTGCAGATTGTTCCCAGTATTTCACGCCTACATGGCGGGAATTGTTCAAGTTTTGGATCAAAATCAAGAATGGGGCAATGAACTTCTCAACCTTACTCTGCAACTATTATTGTTCTGTGCGGCTCCTAAGCCTCAGAAACGAACGCATGTCCCGGAGTTTTCACTTGTGAGAGTGCCACAAGACATGCGTCAGACATGGCTTATGGCTTGTCTTATAATATTGTATAAGGTAAGCTAGAATTTAAAAAAAAAAAGACCTGAAGATATAGTTATGTTGCAGAGCAGAACCTCTTCTGATTTAATAGTGCAAATGGTTACCAGCAAACTGTCAGGAAAAACAGACGCGATGGGAGGACGGAGGGGGAGGGGTGGGGAGTAGGGGGTAGGGGGGTGAGGCAGTTATCTGCAAGGGAGTAGCTGTGCTGCTAGTTGCTTCATGCTATGGAAACGGGGACAGTGATGAGCTTTAAGGGTCGTAGGAGATAACAGTAACGTACCTGGAAAATAACGCAACATAACATGCCAGGGCTGACTCGTAGTTGATTTCTTTCCTTCCCAGTATCCTTTTCACGCAGACTCCCATAAACGAGATACGAAGAATCTCATTCAAGTTGTGATAAACACATTGGAGGCCCAGAATCACGTTTGTAAGGGACCCAGAGAAGGTTTTCCAAAACGGGCCAGTATGGCGTCCATATTTGGGGAGTCGTTCTCTGTGGGACCAGGAGATGCGTCCATTCGATCAGGTAGCAATGCTTACTTCAAAATAACATTCTTCTTAATAGAATCCATATTTCTCTATTGATGTAATCTTTGAGGTCTTCAAATAAATGTCAAACAGGATAAATCTGCCCTTTCTTAAAAATTTTGATAAAGGTCCGAGAGCCATTGAGAATGCAGTGTAGGCATGCAGCGCGACTTAAGAAAAACAATAATTTTTGGAAACCATAACCATTCTAACTCCCCCCTGCCCCTCCTCCCTTCTTCGGTCGCCCCTCTCTTCGCCCCTACCTAGATACTCTCCCGCTCCTTAACTTTTTTATTTACTTACTAAATGTTCTTACCAATTTATTAGGTTTATCGCGATAGTTGTTAGACTTGCTTTGCTTTTTCTTCTGTCCAGACCCTCCAGGAAGCCCTCTGCGTCGCCAGAACACCGACAGACAAATGTCATTACCCGTCTCCGTGACAAGTAACAAATCACGTGACGACGAGAACAAAGACAAGCGGCATGCAGAAAGACAGATCTCCTCACCCTCAGCATTTAACACCGGAAAGTTTCCGGAGAAAATCGAAGATGAAAAAGATAAAGACGAGAAACTTTCGGAGACGAACCATGATCTCCGACGGTTACCCGAGACTGACCTTAATGAGTTCGGTGGCGTTAGTTCTTCGGAGCGACATTTGTCTTCCAGCTCCTCAACCCAGGACATGTCGGCGTATACAGGAGGTGCGTTCCGATCAATCCCGGCTTCTAGGCGCGAGGAAGACAAGGCTGGAGGAGAGGGGACGCCTGGAACCGAGGACAAAGGGCGGAAAGGTACGATAGCGCCTGGTACTTGAAGTAGCGTTTAATTCAATCTATGCTCCAAAATAGCTTTCCGCTTTCGGTGTATTTTTTTTTTTTTTTAATCGTAGTATGCTTGTTGCCCGGTGACAACATGCACCGTGTTATTTTCAGTTGACTGTCGTTAAAGTGTCGTTAGTTGCATCGGGCTTTAAATAACTTCCCCTAAAACAAAACATAAAGAATAATGAGTACAACAAAGAAATACGATTTTCAAATATCTTCTAACTGGTGGAAATGTTTCGTTGTTTGTTTGTTTCTTAAGCATCCAAGACTTTTGGCACCAAAAGTTCTAAATACAGGAGCCTACAGTATTTCATAACTAACTTTTAAATTACTTTACCATGTTCCTATTATTTCAGCTCGTCCTCTCTCGTGGCGTGTTCGCCGCAACACAGGAAGTAAACAAAGTTTTTTCAACTTTTCTTTGCGTTCTAAGAAGTCAACACATTTAAATGGTTGGTAACGACAGTCGCATAAAATGATAAAATCCTAAACTATTTAACGTGTTAACCTGAGCGCATTTAACTGAGATCTCTTGTCAGGTCGTCTAAAAGATATAGATAAATACAGGTTTTATCTGCACTTCTTAACATTGTAGCGTAAAAAATTTTCATTCATTGTAAGCAGTCTTAAATTGCCCAACTTATCAGTTTTAAATTTCAGATGGAATGAAAATTTACAAATATCAAAAGTTAAATAATACATTTTAATGATCACCCATGAGTATTCATTAAAATGTATTATTTAACTTTTGCACGTAGATTAATTAATAGGCGAATTTGAAATGTAATTCAAACATAACATGCTGCGATTACTGTTAGGAGCCTGGAGACGAGATAAATACTTAGTTCACGAATGACTTTTTGTTATTCCTGATGACAGTCTCCACAGAGTCAACTTGCAGTCGTGAAACACGTGATGTGAACTGGAGCCGGCCGGGCAGCGTTGAAAGCTCGACATGGACCAACAGTGTCGAGAACCGAAAAGGTTCAAAGTCCAAACTGTTACCCAGCCACTCGACGCGATCTTTTGACAGGGTCTTGGAAGGGACCATTTATAAGGACCCTTTTGAGGGGGACCTGGAGCTCGACTCTTGCCCTGAGTGCGGGACCTCTCTCGAACAGTTTGACGAGGAGACCCTCAATTTATGTATTGTGGTGCTTTCTACATTTGCTCATCAGAGCCCCTCAATGGCAATGCCATTCTTACTTCGAATGCTGGAGTGTGTTGCGAGGTAAGGTAAAGGGGTCTTTTGAAGATAGGTCCTTGAGATATCTAGTTTTTTTTTGAAACAAGAAGCCTGGAAAGAAAAGGAAAAAAAAAAAGAATTCAGGACTATTCCAGAACTGAAAGCTGTGACTTCACAAAGAGTATCTTATCGTTGTCATTTCAAACGTTTTCCAAATGCAATGAAAGTATTCATTCACATCGATTTTAATAGCTCCTTGTTCATTATTCTCATACGATCTTGTTTTTACTTTACTTCTCAGGAAGTGTGTGCATCCTATGTTTGCTTGGCAAGAGAAAAGGTAATTTGCTATTAATTCTACTGAATTATGAAAAACAACCAAATTTTTGCCAACAAAACATTTCATTTGGAAACCATCACATAAGGTACCACATCGCCGTCACTGGCATTTTAAAACCACGTGAATTTTTTTTCGTGAAAACGTAGCCTGCTTTGCAGCGGTTTTGTTTGCGCATTGAAGATTGAACTCTGGACCCCAAAATCGAGCAGCAATTTTTAAAGACATAGAAAATGACATATCCAACCTTACTGAATTTTTCGTTTGGTTCCCCCAAAAACTCTGATTCCAAGTGTTCAGCTCTTGCTGTTGTTCCCTTGAACTATCTCTCCTGAGAAAGAAAAGACAGCAATTACGTCCTTTTTTTTGTTTTTGTTACCTTTTTTCTGTATGTTTTCAGTAATAAACACAATCATGTAATACAAACAGATATAGACTGCCAATGAAGAAGAACAAGATACAGAATCATGTAAATGTGATTTGCTAAAGGTCTCTACCTTGAGGATGACCGGTGCTCATTTTCGCGGTTACGCTGCCAGCTAAACGGTCCGATACAAGCTGCAAACACACATTTTTTCGATTATTTATAGTGTTGTTTATATTTTACTTTATTTCCCGAATATTCTTATACTAATACTGACTCAAATCTCAAGTTTTTTCTTAATTTTTAGTAACCTGCTTATTCCTGGTTCAATAAGAGAAGTTGCCAAACAGTTTCTGAGATGTGTTCTCATCAAGCTTGCACCGAACGGCATCTTCTCAGAGCTGTTCCGTAGCTCTTTAAAAGGTAATAAATCAACTGTGCACTGCTTTCATTGGTAACTAATCTCAACAGACAGCGATTTTATGCCTATTTCCTCACATAGCTGGTCATTTGCTGTCTGGAGTATTGAAATAAAATTCCTTTGGAAAGGTTCTCTAAAAACACCCTGCTACTGAACTATAAAACTGTGTCATGACTTCTAATTGTGGACAAGATTTTTCGACACAGAGTGTTACCAGGTCGCATGCAAAGGTTGTTACAAAATTGTCTTTGTTACAAGTTCTTGAACACCTTCCGCAAAGTTATTGTAATCAGTCTTTTCAACAATTCCTTTTATGAGTTACAAGTGCCAACCCTCTTTTCTATTCGGCTTTGCACAGTAAAGAAAGTTGTTTCTGTGACTGAAATGTTCTTCCTTGAAATCTTGTGTGTTGTTTGGTTGATTTACTTCCCGAAATTCACTAGTACTAAATTCATCAGTTACAGGCACTCGTTTACTGGATTGTCTTCTCTTTCCAGATGTCACACTTCTCAAAGCTGTTGCAATCGCCTTGAACGATTTTTCATCATTTGACCAAATGTCTCCAATAGCTTACTTGCTGGAGGTACTGTAAGATCTTAGCGCCCTTTCTTCTGTTTTTGAGTGGTAACCAGTCGGAAAGCTTCAGTTGGATGTTGATTTAAGGGAAAGTGTATAGTTTTTATCACTGTTAATGTTGACAGACAGAATATTCGAATCAAAGGAAGTACATCGTGGTTCCGTCTTTAACCTTTGTCCAAGCACTGTTTATAGTTATTTAGTTGAAACCGGGAGGTTTGCTTGATAGACACCGGTAATTCCTAAATGAGTCCTTCGCTTAAGAAAATTTTAAACTTCTTTCTGTAGTCTACGACCGAGCTCAAAGTGTGTAATTTTTCTTAATGTACATGCACAAGTAGGCTTAAAATATTGCTGATATTAGTAATCTACATGACGCTTATCATATAAGAACCAATCATACGGCCCAAAATCGGAAAGGTCTAACTTTCAAAATTTCCTTGTTCTAACCTCTTGACAAATATTCCATCCTTGTGTTGAACCAGTAAAAATACGTATTCACTTTAACATTGTCTGATGTGACATTGAACTCTCAGAGCTTACATCAAAACAATTCTATGAATTGAAGTGGAAAGGAGTTATTTACGTATGATGCACGATCCTCGCAGTAGAAAGCGCTATTTATGTAATAGCGAAAATCAGACCTGAACAAAATCAGGTCTGTACGGGATTCGAACTACTGACTTCTGCGATACTAGTGCAGCGCTCTACCAATTGAGCTAACAAGCCAACTGGGAGCAGGCCGTTAAGTTGATTCGTAATAACCCGTGATGATAAATCAGATACAATGAATATATGAAGTTCATATATTTGAACTGCGGTATTAGATACGTATGATGCACGATCCTCGCAGTAGAGAGCGCTATTTATGCAATAGCGAAAATCAGACCTGAAAAAAATCAGGCCTGTACGGGATTCGAACCACTGACCTCTGCGATACTAGTGCAGCGCTCTACCAATTGAGCTAACAAGCCAACTGGGAGCAGGCCGTTAAGTTGATTCGTAATAAACCCGTGATGATAAATCAGATACAATGAATATATGAAGTTCATATATTTGAACTGCGGTATTAGATACGTATGATGCACGATCCTCGCAGTAGAGAGCGCTATTTATGCAATAGCGAAAATCAGACCTGAAAAAAATCAGGCCTGTACGGGATTCGAACCACTGACCTCTGCGATACTAGTGCAGCGCTCTACCAATTGAGCTAACAAGCCAACTGGGAGCAGGCCGTTAAGTTGATTCGTAATAAACCCGTGATGATAAATCAGATACAATGAATATATGAAGTTCATATATTTGAACTGCGGTATTAGATACGTATGATGCACGATCCTCGCAGTAGAGAGCGCTATTTATGCAATAGCGAAAATCAGACCTGAAAAAAATCAGGCCTGTACGGGATTCGAACCACTGACCTCTGCGATACTAGTGCAGCGCTCTACCAATTGAGCTAACAAGCCAACTGGGAGCAGGCCGTTAAGTTGATTCGTAATAAACCCGTGATGATAAATCAGATACAATGAATATATGAAGTTCATATATTTGAACTGCGGTATTAGATACGTATGATGCACGATCCTCGCAGTAGAGAGCGCTATTTATGCAATAGCGAAAATCAGACCTGAAAAAAATCAGGCCTGTACGGGATTCGAACCACTGACCTCTGCGATACTAGTGCAGCGCTCTACCAATTGAGCTAACAAGCCAACTGGGAGCAGGCCGTTAAGTTGATTCGTAATAAACCCGTGATGATAAATCAGATACAATGAATATATGAAGTTCATATATTTGAACTGCGGTATTAGATACGTATGATGCACGATCCTCGCAGTAGAGAGCGCTATTTATGCAATAGCGAAAATCAGACCTGAAAAAAATCAGGCCTGTACGGGATTCGAACCACTGACCTCTGCGATACTAGTGCAGCGCTCTACCAATTGAGCTAACAAGCCAACTGGGAGCAGGCCGTTAAGTTGATTCGTAATAAACCCGTGATGATAAATCAGATACAATGAATATATGAAGTTCATATATTTGAACTGCGGTATTAGATACGTATGATGCACGATCCTCGCAGTAGAGAGCGCTATTTATGCAATAGCGAAAATCAGACCTGAAAAAAATCAGGCCTGTACGGGATTCGAACCACTGACCTCTGCGATACTAGTGCAGCGCTCTACCAATTGAGCTAACAAGCCAACTGGGAGCAGGCCGTTAAGTTGATTCGTAATAAACCCGTGATGATAAATCAGATACAATGAATATATGAAGTTCATATATTTGAACTGCGGTATTAGATACGTATGATGCACGATCCTCGCAGTAGAGAGCGCTATTTATGCAATAGCGAAAATCAGACCTGAAAAAAATCAGGCCTGTACGGGATTCGAACCACTGNGAGGTCAGTGGTTCGAATCCCGTACTGTCCTGATTTTTTTCAGGTCTGATTTTCGCTGTTGCATAAATAGCGCTCTCTACTGCGAGGATCGTGCATCATACGTATCTAATACCGCAGTTCAAATATATGAACTTCATATATTCATTGTATCTGATTTATCATCACGGGTTTATTACGAATCAACTTACGTTTTAGGATGTTCTTGGGTCCAGGACTCTCAGTGACCGCGTGCTGGCGTTGCTGAGCAACATGGACACTTATTTTCAGTTTGCCTCACGTGAGCCCACGAGTGCCTGGGAGAGTCAGCTGTCTCACTTCGAAGCGTTATTTAGGAAGCTGCCTTCGGTGTTGCAAGAAAATGTAAGTTCCGTGTCTGTAGTAAGTGATAGTCCTAATTTAGTAATTTGGAGTCAAATGCGCTAATTACGGCTTTCCACAACTGAATACCACCTCTGTGCGCACGGATTTTATTTGATAAAAAGAGTTTTGGTGTCCTCCACCATCGTTTTGTTTCTTTTAACAATCTTGTTTTGTCTTCCTATTTTCTTTTATAGTCCGATGTGACACCAACATTTCGTGTCATGACTGCGATACTTAATGCGGCGAGTTCTTCTTTCAAGGTGAGAGCATTTGACTTTTTCAAAAAAGATATGTTTGCTTTATTTATTGTTCAGTTGTTGCTAAAGGTCTGCGCTACTTATTATTGTGAATTCTTCTTTCAAGGTGAAGGATCTCTGCGCAAAGAAATCCTAAATATCTAGTGTAATGGTATGCTTCATTATTCGCTCGACTTCAGTCAAGCCTTGTTGTTCCCTTAATTCGTTTTTTCGTTTATTTTCTCAGATGTTGCTGCCGTCCTTCGCTCAGTTGATCAGTTACGCCATCAACAAGTGTTCTTTTCAGCTTCAGGATCTGCTGGAACTCTGTGTGAAGTGCACCGAGACTTTTCCCAAGGTGTGCCAGTATTTCTCTCGCGTAAGATTTCGGTCTGTCAATGTAGTTCTTCGCCCCAAAAAGCACGCACGTTTCGTGTCTTTCCCACATAAGATACAGGCTTGTTAATTGCGGAATGATTCAAGATCAGATAGGGTCAAGTATCATCATCTGTCATCTTGCTGGAGTTTACTCCCATGGCACCATGGGAGTATTGCTATTTCCCTCTCCTCTCCCCCGATGGTTTGCTACCCTCCTGGGTGGATAGAGGCACTGTAACTGTGAAGCGTCTTGCCCAAGAGCATAACACATTGACCCGGTTCGAAGCCGGAGTTCAGCGCGCAAACCAGAACGTTACAGTCTTTTACTTACAATTTCAGACTGATCTGAATGAAATATCATACATACTTGTTCTTTTTTTTCTCTTGGCTTAAATCTTTCAGGAGCGTAACAAACTGTTTTTGACTCGTGCTGTTGTGTTGGTACTGGTCCATGCTGTTAAGTTTCGTTCTTCACTTCCCGACACGAACCTCCAGTCTGTACTTCAGGTACATGGTTACTCTGCCATTTACAAAACTTTGATAATTTCCTCTTTAATTTTCCATTAGTCTCTATACGCGATGCTTAATTTTAAAACTTCGTCTCTCAATAGTTTGTCGCTGTAGATGCAGGCAGCAGGATCAGTTTTGGTAGCGAATCTGACAACGCACCTTATGATCTGCCGTTTGGGGTGAGAATTGTGACATTTCCTTGCATTGCGTTACTTTTATAACTTTTCACGCTCTTAAAACTTTTTCTCTATCTTTGTAGTCACGTACTCGAGCCCTTGATTGCGTCCGTCAGTACATTGGAGAAGCGGTTGAATTTATAAGGGACTGGAATTTTACCGCCAGATCTAGTAAAGTAAGTGATAGGAGGTCAATCGCCTGTATTGTTTCAAAGTCCAGTTTAGGGTAGCTTTGGAAAGCTGTTGTGGATGACAGCGACTGAAGTTTCGACAGCCAGGGCGGAAGTCATAAGAGCAAAGATGAGGATTGTGAAGCTGACTTTGTGCTTAGGCGAAAAGTTTCAATTCGGTACGATCTGACACTGAAATAAAAAGCTATAAAGTTATCTGTTTAATAGAAACGACATTCGTCTTTTCCAACAGGAAAACCGCCAACTGAGTGAACCAAACCTGCATCAGACAACTTTGCCGATCGATCTGAAAGCCAGTGTATCTCAGCTGGTGGCATTGGAGCTAACAAAACACACAGAAGACAGCAAAATGCACAACAAGGCACTGGCATGGCTCAAGAGTCCTCCAACAGCTACACAGTTGGGGTAACTTCTCACTGTGCTCTTCAGTTTGCACCGTACTTGAACTCTCCAGAGTCCCAGTTTGATAGCATCAAGTGACCACAATTATTACTACTCCACAAGGGGATGCTAGTCCGTCACATATTACCCCCCTCCCCCCCCCCTCCTTCGTGTCTCATCAGGTTTCCCAGATTGTTCGCCGGCACCTCTGTTATACTCCTGAGGACGCACTTACAGTTAATTGTTTCGCCAAAGAACACGACACACTGATTAGGCCAAGACTCGATCAGAGACTTAGAAATTGGAAGCTTACGGGCTGATCATCTTTCCACCTTACTTGTCTCTTTATCTCTTACAGGCGTCAAGAATTGCTGGATTGCGTGACACATATGCGAATGCTAGCTTGGTTACTGCACGGCTCATTGTCACACTTCGTACATTGTCGCAATACTCACGTCAACTGTCACCCAGTCAAGTTTGAAGAGAACACGCAAATTGCAGACTACGTGCTTATAATTCTGTTCAGCTTTGCGGAACAGCTTAAGGTCAGTATACCGGTTTTTTGGAGTTGATAAAGGGAATGTAGAATAAAGTTCCATAATCGATTTGTAATCCATGTGTGTCTTTTTTATCTTCCTTATTCCTAATGGTAAATGAGTTATCCTTTAAAGGTTTTTTTAGCCTGCCAAACTAACATTTTGACGTTTCCCTCTTTCCCTCTAGTAAGGGACAGAGGGGAACGGAAGGGGGGGGGGGCTGCAAGGATTAAGATATTTCAACCAAGGTTCATTTAAATCATCTGTTTGAAATTCATTTGCCCTATTTGAACACTGTCAGCCTCTGCTTTTTCAGGAACCTTTGAGCAAGTCTGCCCTATATCATGCGTTTAATGTTTGTGAGGTAAGGAGAATGGAATCGTTCGCTTTCTATTTTGCAACCAATGATTACATATTTCACACGGTACAGCTGCTTGCTTAAAGAAGATATTGGATTATGTTCATGTTGCAAACAAAAGCCTCTGGAAGCGTTGTGGTCGGTCGTGGAATTGTAAACGAAAACGGACTTAAACCAATGGAAACAACAAGCTACATTACTTTTTTGTCATTTTGGTAGCTGTGGACGCTGTACTGTGATCAAACCAAGAGTCCTGGCGAATCGTCGACACATGCAGCCTCTATCGTCATGGAGTTTTGGGGAAAAGTGACTCCAGGAATTCTGCATCTTCTTACGCAAGCTAAGGAGGTGAGGAATTGTGGTACATCGCGATGCACAGTTAAGCAAATCAATACAGATTAAGTTGAGCTGCTGTTTGTGGAGCGAAAGTTACACGGTCAAGGGTTGGAAACATTTAAAAGTTTCACGTTACTCGAAAGAAAGATTCAACAGTTCTTGTCAAGATTACACTCACCCGTGCAATCATATTATATGATCAATGTTCGTCGTGTCCCCCCTCAACAACGAGTATATCGGGCAAAAAAAGGAGTGACTAACAAGTTATCAGGGTCTGAAGTTATTCTAAAGGAAGAGGAATATTATAAAGAAAACTATCTCGTTTTCCATGATCATGTTGAACGTCCACTTAAAGAAAGTTTGATTTTTTCAATAGCTGACACAAACTGTGAGTCACCACTTCCTGAACTTACTGGAAGCTCTTCAGGAGTGCAATTCCACCCCTCTACCCAAGGTAAGCATGTGCCAAGTAAATCATGAAGGTAACAATGTTTCTCTTTTGTTGAACAATGCAACACAATCGCGATCAGTGCAAAGAAATGTGCTTTGGCAACGTTTGAAAGTTGTGTTGAAGAAAGGACACTACCCTGCCAAACTGTCACCTATTTAAAGGAAACTGCTTGGCCACATGTCGATACGAATTTTATTTTGGTAAAACCTCCAACGTGGAGGAGAGTAAGAGATGTCATCAAAACGAGAATGCAAATTCGTATCCACAACCGAACATCAATGATCTGTTTTCTTTGTCTTGTTTTCATTTTTTTTTTTTAGTATAAAAAATATACATATAAAATATATATATATATATATATATATATATATTCATAACCCGCCCATTAATTTCGGCTCGATTTTATTGGTTACTTTACGTCACGTGGTGCAAAATCACAGGACAGTTATCACGCAATAACCCCCGTCTGCTTCGATATTTGTCCTCCGATTTTTTCGGTATAAAAGAAACATAGTCAACACAAGAGTTTCAACTTTTCCGTTCTCCTATTTACATGGAAAGAAATCAAACTCGTTTTCTTGAGTCTAGCGATAGTGACATTAAGGAGCTGGTCGCAAAAGTCAAGTTTTTGAACAGCTCGTTGGAAAATGTGAACCAAAAGCGCCAAGTTTTCGAGTTTTTGTCAAGTTTTGGTCTAATCACACTGAAAATAAAGTTATTTAAACCAATCAAATGTACTTGCTTGCTTGCGTCAATCACGCGCATTTGCCATCAGATCACCACTTGTTTTTTTACTGTGTTTACGCGCAGTTTAATTGCGATGTGAAAATCAGTGGGAGGGTTATAAAATAAATAAACCCCGTTCTGGCTTACTGGTATGTCGGCTGATAATGTCCTTGGCTGAGAGGTTGTCCTCAAAATTTCATATTTACCCTCGAAGCTTCGCTTCTCGGTCAAATATTCATTTTTAATAAATAAAAAAACAATTCTTTATTTAATGTGGTACCACACTTAGCTACAAGCTACTTTCCAGGAGGCCCACAATAAACAACAGAAACAAATAATTTAAATTGAACATAAATCGTTAAGAATCCCAACTGGCCAGAGGCAAATCAGTTGGCTATTTACAAGCGTGGCCGAGGATTTGATCTCGGAGCTGCCGTCAAACAAATCCAGGTAGTGGTCAGAGCGGGACTCGAACCCGGGAGCAGCGGATTGCGAGTCCGACGCGCTGACCACTCGAACACGCTGCCTCCGTGGACATCATCAGCCGACATACCAGCCGCCCGAAGGGGTTTATTGATCACGTTTTTAAATCAAACACAATTTTAAAACACTTTTTTAAGAGCACCTAATGCCGAAATCATCATCGAGGCTGATGATGTCACGGATTGGCTAAAGCACGAAGATTTGCTTTTAATTTTTCAAAATTTTAAAATATCTTAAGGCCTCACTGAAAACTAGTATACAGTTAAGATTTTTTTTTCTTTCTTTCTTTCAATAAGCTGTATCCGATGTGGTACCCAATCCTCACTTACTGCTTCTCTCAAAAGGTTAGTCATAGTATTAAAAGGAGTGTAAGTTTGGTTTTCCGTAAATGGTGTAGTTACAATATTCAGTTAATGCCGCAGGATGTGGCAAGTAGATTTGTTTTCGTTTGGGTATTTGTCGAACTTCATTAAATGCCTTTATCCAACATGCTTTTGGTTCATAACCAATAGGGGATGGGGGAATAGGCCCAAATTACTAATTTTACGACACTGATTTGATCCAGGCGACAGAGTTGGAGTCGTCGTAGTCGGAGTCATGAGAGCGCTTCCAGCATTGTGAAAAATCAAAAATTGGAGTCGTAAGGGGAGTCATAAGCTCGACGGAATCGGGGACGGACAAATCAGAACGGTTTCAATTTCTTCCGATTCCGCTTGAGATCAGGTGAAAATGAGATTGGATTCGCAGAAGTGGAAGAACTAAGCAATCACAGTACCAGTTCTCCGGCCATCTAAAGGCTCACGACTCCGACAGTCCAGTTTTCACTGGATCGGTACCAATATTTTTCTTCCGATTCCGTGGGTTTGATTTTCAGTAGATCGTATTGCTCTGCGCTTATGATTACCACTCCAACTCCATCGTAAGTGAAAACAAGTCCCAAGCTGTTGTCTGAAGGTGTGACAACAAAGCTAGCATGAATTAGGTGCGTGCTTGTAGCCAATCAAAATTGAGTTAATAACACAAAGATATTATTATTGAATGACTCTCAGTTATGAATAAACGCGGTCCATATCATTATGTTTAGTACTCGAACTGACTTGTTTTCTTTAGCAATCGGACGCTGCTCATGCGCGGTTGCGCAAAGCTCAGTCCCGAAAGCGAATCATCAAAGATACGAAGTCAGCACTGACCAAGTGGCTGAAACAACTTCAGTTCAAGATGGCACTCGCAGAACAATCACCCGATAATTCTTTGTTCAATAGTATATAGACGATTTTTTTAAAAATTTCGATCTGATAATGTTGATTCAAGAAGACGTTCTCTGCTGAAGGAAACAGTGCTCGTTTCATGATCAGGCAGTTATTGCAAGGTACAATTAGTTAAAAGGCTGATAGTTTCGAAAGAGACTGTTTGGGGCTGCGTCGGTGGGAGTAACGAAATAACTTGGATATATCAACAAAGTTGAAGTGGTAAATTGGCCACCGTAACGATTACAAAAGCTTACGTTTCGAGCGTTAGCCCTTCGCCCCGACGAAGAGCTAACGCCCGAAACGTCAGATTTTGTAATCGTTACGGTGGCCAATTTACTACTTCAACTTTGTTGATATATCCAAGTTATACAATTAGTTAAAAGTTGACAGCTACCATGAACTAAGCTTCTAACAGCTCCTGATGAGTGGGAGAGCTAACTTCGTTACATTTAAACGATGTTCAGTATTATTACAATTATTCCCTGGATAAACGGTAAAATCGCCAGAAGTATGATTTAAGTTGATTAGTTATTATTAATTCAATGAGGATAGCATTACTTGATCAGTTCTAAAAAAAAAATAATGTATTTAAGTATGTAAATATGTCACGAATAAAGGAAATTAAGTTGAAGAAATTCCATTCCTGTCAGCCCCC